GTGTCTCTGATACTTTGGCAGCAATCACCAAAGATCAAGAATGGAGTGTCCAATTTAGCTAGGCTCTCAACCATTTTGTAGTGCGTCAGCAGTGAGGACTCGAGGAGTCGTCATTGCAGACCAAATTGGACATGGCATGCTGCCCAAGTATCCAGGTCGGTCTCTTCAAGTTCGCAATGCGAAATCTCGATCAGATTACTTGGAAAGCATGTTGATTTGGGGGCAAGAACGACAATATGGCAACCACGTGGGATGTTGTATTGCTTCTTAGAGGGGTTCGAATGGGGAAGTAAAATCTCCCAATGGAGAATTGGAGACAAGTGGGCGAGCTGCTGCTGCATGTTGGGCGGCAGAGTACTTGTTTAGGTGCATCTTAACTCGCATACGAAATACTCCACAGACTTGTGAAACAGCCTGCAAAAAGAGTATGAGGGCGAGCGAGTTCATCTCTCGTCAGAAATCGGCAGCTTGTTGAGATGCCGGTGTGATCGGAAAACATCTGACATATCAGCTCTATTTGTATCCGAACATTGATAATAACATCATTAGGTCGCGACTTGCTTATTTGTGTTCTGACGCCATTAGGGACTGGCGTTGCCAAAAAAGCCATGGGACGCGCTGATGTAAAAGGCTCAGGATTGACGTGCTGTCATCCCACGCCAGATGATATTGAAGTGGTTCCTTTTGGTGTGACAACCGAAGTATTCTCCAATGTTTCGTATGTATACCGAAAAGTTGCATCCGTAGTCGCCACATCCGTAGAAATATAAGAGTTGATGTCCCTTAAATGACAGCTGTCAGAATGTCAACATGTGAGCGGAACCCATCATCGCGATTCACTGCTCAGCCACAAGGGACGAAACCGATTTGAGAGAATGCAATCATGCAAACGCTTAGACGAATCCGGCTTGGGGACGACTCGGACGCAGTGGTGAGTCGTGACTGTCCGATGGGGCTCAAGGCTTCTGATCGACGGCTGCAGCGGCGCTTGTGCAGGTACCGGCATCAAGCCGCAGGCTAAAAGACGGAAGATTCGAAAGGAAATGGATAATCTGGCTGTGCCCCGTCACTGGATTGTCCCTGCTCCAACTCTGTCGACGGAACAGACTAAGACAGTTAGCCCGTCCAGGGGGGAGAGGGGTCTGACCCCCTTTGCCTTTTGGTATCGATTGCTCGCAACAGGGGCAGACCTAGGTCGAGCAACTTTTTTTTTCTGTTCAAACTTCCAATCCTTCGTTGTGTGCTCCGTACTCGTACGTCACTGAGGGAAGGTGACATGGTGATACCATCAACATCAAGAAGAGGGTCATATCCGTCTTCTGTACGAATACAACAATAGCCTCACATTGCTGGGTGGTGATAGCAACGAGATTCGAAACCAAATCAACAGTCCTGGGATAATGTCTGGCTGCGATTTGTGTGTGGGAATGGCGAATTGTGACCCGTAGCCCCGTCACTTTCTCTAAGTGGATGTCTCTGAGGGAGTGAAGGAGTGATCATTCTAGCGTTTCTATTCCATCTCGCCTAGTTCCTTCCGTGCCATTAGTAGCAGCAGATATGGCTGAGCGTTGAAGCGGTGGTGAAAACTTGGATTGGTTGGTCGGTCCCCCCATCGCTGACACAGACCAGAGTCAACTCTCACGCTTCACACTCCCCCGGGCGCCTCAGCTTCGACAACAGGGGTCCATGGCCATCACCATTGCAACTTGAACTTGAACGACCTGAATCGAGTGACACCCTGGCATCCTGCCTGGCTTCCGGGTGGCATTGAATGGCAGCTTCGCCCAATCTCGGCCTAGTTTGAAGGTCTTGCAGCACTAGGCGCGGTCCCAGCAACCCGGTGCTCTGGACACTGGTTAAGCAGAACTGGCGTGCAGCCACAGGCGCTCCACCCCCTGGAACTCCAACGAAGCTGGCCCGAGGCCCTCCCCTTCGGATGCGTCATGGACTAGACCATTTCAAATGGAAACAGAGACGACCGCCGTGGAGCCTGCGCTACGATCGGGGATGAAATTCCCATTGCCCAGGTGTTTTAGAACGGTCCCAGTGCCTGATGTGACTTTCGAGACGGACACGCTGGAGTCGGAGTCACGGTTTAGCCCTGGCCCTGGCCCTTAGCCTGTACTCGTACGGATAGGCTGTAGCCCTCCTGGCGACCATGGAAACAAACGTTTCTTCCTGACCTGTTTTAGCCTCTGGCCTGGCACCAGAAGAACCCTTCTTTCACCCTCCCCCCCAGGCGGGAACCCTTCCTGACTTTCCGGCCACCCACCACTTCCTTCAACTGGGTCGCCTCCGATAACGAGACACCGTCACTCAACCTGCTCACTCTTCCCCTGTCATTTAATCACCCGAGTGAGCGCAAAGTCTCAAGGCTAAGATGTTTAGGCTCGGTGGGCTTTCCTTAGGCCCCACCATCCGTCCTTCTGGCACCCTGCGGGAAGATGGAAACTGGATCGCTGGCCTAGGGAGGAGCCTTGTGGCCCTGGTTCCCAAAAGCAAGCCCTGTCCAGGTTGACACCAGCAAAGTCCACAGCTTACCTTGTGCCCCTTTCGGACCTCGGATTCTCTTTCGCGTTATAATGGCTTTATTTCCCTACTGTCATGTCTGTCTGCTGTACTTTTTTTTTGTTCGTTACACGTTTTGACTCCTCTGGACCTCGTCTCTCTCTCCTGCTTGACTACATCCAACCTTTTTTGACATTCCTTTGTTCGCATCATTTGCTCTGTTTAGCTTAAGAAAAGGAGACATCGTCGGCCCAGAACGCAACGTACATTTTCGGCCAAATTCGCTCAGGTCGACACATCATATACACATCGGATCCACCCCTGGACTCACCACCCCTACATTCGAGTCTTCGACTATCATTCTAGTCACGCATCCAATCCGCCCGCAATTATCCATATCCGAGACTCGAGAAACTACCTGTACTCTTACTCACAACCTACTCGACTGAACCTGTCGTTCCAAGCAGCTGAAAAGAGACCACCAGTCTGGATCAGCATTTTGACAGGGAGAAACTCAAATTCTCAAGGCGCCGACTCCTTTCCTCCCGCGTTCCTCCCTTGACATCGTTCAAATACCCTGTTACAAGGCCCTTCTGAGCCCGGCAAAGTCAGCAAAATAGTATTGTACCACACGCGTGGTGTCCCTCCAACACTAGTCGCTATTGGCGATCTTGTCATTGCAGACAGTACAGTAATATATCATAATGTGAGTCAGCCTCATGTCTGCAGCTATATAGTCCTGTCTTCCCAAATCTTCCCCCTTTTTGACTCACTGCCCGATCAAAGACCCTGGTATCCTAACAGTTCATTTTCCACAGATTCAACATGACTTCCTCGATACAAACCTCAGCACCCTGCGATATGGGTCGTGGTGCATATGACACCACAGGAGTTCCCAAACCCAAGCCGCCTCCAAAACGGACCCACGGCTGATCGATTCGAATCTTGCCATCAGACCTTTCCACCTTAACGCCGAATGACAACGGCCGAATAACTCTTTTTCTCTGCCAGTCCAGCGTCAGGTTGGTACGCAGCATTCACACTTCGGCAGAGGAGCGTCCAATTCTACCACGACCTGCTTGCACCAAGGATCATCTGCGATATTTCCAGAAAGGTCCACTGTGTTCGACTGAGCAATACTTTTGTCTGCTTCAACCAGAAATTTAATCCCCTCGTATGCTTTTCGACTACCCTGTACAAGTACTTGATCGCACTCAACATCTGAGCGTTTCCGGCGACACATTATTTATCTTCTTGCATGCATGGCGCAACATCTTCTTTTTCTGGGACACATTCAACAACGACCTTTCCTGTACAACCATGTTATACCACCACAAAAGTCGATTTTCATTTCCTATTCTTCTCGGGGGCGTTCGCATAGATCGGGATTAGGATGGGTCGGCGGGCTGGAACTCGAAAAGCGAATGACGAGCATTCGCGATATAGATTGTATGACTCAGGTCAATTTTTTTTCCACTGGGCGTTTTGGGATCTTGTTTCTACGGATGAGGATGAGTGATGTGAAGCTTGCACGGTGCACCCAGAAAAAGCATCGGCTGATTCACAGTCATCCGGAAACATGGTCCACCGGCCAAATACCTCGAGTGGTTTTGAAAGATGATGGAAATGCCTACCACTAGGCTTTGGGTATTGAGTCTGAGTCATATAGAAGACAGGGGCGGTACACGACTCACCCTGACCGTCCCTAATAAGGACCAATAATATCATTGATGGATTCATGTCATCCACAAAATGTTCCTTTCGTTCTGTTCTCACGTGAGCATACTTGAAGCCCATGCAGCGATCATCAGAGCACGGAGTTCCGTAGAGACATTTGCATGAGGAAGCAAGTCTTTGCCGGTTGTGCCTAACACGAGGCTCCAGGGTTCAGGGGTAAGCCTGGAGAGACGGTCCAGCCTGCATAGCTCGCCTTGAAGAGCCACGCGTAGATGACCGTGGCCCATCGGCTACCTTTCTCCGTGTTAAGAATAAGATGGCGAAGAGGAATGCAGTACCACAGGAATTCCATAGGGTCCTAGCTATGCGATTCCGAGCGTGACCGTTGCAAATCCCCACCCTAGAGATACGGCGGACCATTCATATCCAAACGATATGCTTCGTCATTCATTGAGCCCGATTTGGCTGCTCACTGCCTGCCACTGGCTGCGCCAACATCTTGAACGAACCACCACAACTCATCTCAACATCATCACTTCCTCCAATCACTTATCGAAAACGCTTTCTGCTGAAAGAGGCGTTCTCGGTCAATTACCTCTGTGCGGACTTCTGTGTACTTCCGTCCGAGATATCTTGCTCCCGAAAATTTGCGTCATACTCTACATCCTTCCAACCGTTCCAATCCGTCGCAACAAACAGGCTCGTTATCCAGGCGCTCCTTCGCTGTAGTGGACTCCTAGCACAATTGAAAAACCGTCGCTCATACATCAAGAAGATCACAAAGGCCCCTCTCATCTCTCTTCTCCTCCCAGAATATGGCGGACAATTCGTCAGTCCCCAAGCCCAGCAGCAGCGTCAAGCTAGTGCTGTTGGGCGAAGCAGCCGTTGGAAAGGTGGGTTGCACATTCTCTCGTTATCGACGTTCAATAGTTTCCATGTCACTCTGCAGACTGCTCCATGAACGACACCTTTGACAGATGGCTTCCTCATCGTGAGATGGTTGTACAGTTCTTTTTGCGATACCTTATCCTCACGTCAAACTGAGGAAGCCTCCCCTCCCGCCTACTTTACAGAAGATACTGGGACGGATGGTGCTAACAATGAGAATAGTCATCGCTCGTTTTACGATTCGTCAACAACGATTTTCAGGAAAATAAAGAGCCTACTATTGGCGGTATGTCCAACATCCTATCCCTCACCGGTCCCCCAATACAAGAATATTCGATCTCTATTCCTACATCAATTTCTTGTTTTACTTGTACCGATTCTGACAAGTGTCCACTATAGCTGCCTTCTTGACTCAAAAAATCTCGCTTCCGAGTAGAGTCATCAAGTTTGAAATCTGGGACACAGCTGGCCAAGAACGTTTCGCCTCCCTTGCACCCATGTACTACCGTAACGCCCAGGCTGCACTGGTAGTGTACGACCTGACAAAGCCCACCTCACTCACCAAAGCCAAACATTGGGTTGCTGAGCTCCAACGACAAGCCTCACCCGGAATTGTCATTGCGCTGGTGGGTAACAAACTCGATTTATGTGCCGAGTCTTCCGGAGATGGCGCCGACTCCTCAGACCCCGCAGTCTCGGAGACTGAAGATGGAGGAGAGAGCGAGCCCGGTGAGGCCGAAGCCACAGACGATGGAGACGCACGCAAAATCTCGACCCGTGAAGCCAAATCATATGCTGAGGAGGAGAGCTTACTGTTCTTCGAGACCAGTGCGAAGACCGGGACGAACGTTGCAGATGTATTCAGCGCCATCGCAAATGCCATTCCCGAGACCAGTTTGAAAGGTGCCAGAGGTGCAAGCGGAGGAGGTACTCAGGCTGCCTTGTCAGGTGCCGCCAATCGAGCGGATGAGGCCAGAGTCAATTTGGGGGAGCGAACGAAACAGAAATCAGACAATTGTGCTTGTTAGTGGTAGGCTACCACATCGTGCATTTGTGTTTCTTCATGGATATGCAGTGGGCAAGCTGGAGTCTGGAGTATTGTTATTGCGCATGTGCAAGCTGTATAAGTGTGGTGGACGGCCGCGATTCTGGCTTATGGCAATGCCATTGGGCACACCATATAGTGACCAGCTGGTCCAGAATCAGAGCACAGCAGGCCAGGCCAGGCTAGAGCAGAGCAAACGCTGTCAGCCGCGATATTTCATAGAAACGCCAGTATCTGCTCGCAGGAATAATCAAACATTCAGTTATCAAACTGCTACCGAATGCCAGCAGATCACCTCAGTTGGCTATACTGTTCCTTATATCAAATCACCGATACCTTGATGTACAGTAGATTCCTATTTCCACAGCCGAAACATTCTTCTTCCGCCTGCAGCAACCTACTAACCCGAACCCATCAACCACCACTCGGTGGCGTTTCGCAGTCCCTGAAAGTAAACAGTTCCGAGTCGTCTGATATGGAATCCCGACCCTCCAAATTGGGTATTTCCTGACCCAACAACCTTGGATCCAGATCTCGTGGAGATCATGTCGAGGGACGTGGAAACTAGAACGGGAAACCAACATCTCTCGATACAGGTTTTCCTCGCCCAACAACTCCAAATATCGCTTCTGGCACGAGATCTCCGCGAACCAAACGGGGAAGCCAACCGCTCCTGATTGAGGTTTTCCTGACCCGACAAACCCAAATCTCACTCATTTTACGGGGGACGAGATCATGTCGACGAAACCTGAACAGATCGGGAAGTTGTAAGTCCCAATTCGAATTATATTCCACAGTTTGGCCACACAGCAAAAGGCCCAGGGTTAGGGTTGTGAGCCTTCTGATTGGCTGATCTTGCTTTGTGTATTTACCTACTCTGCAAGACTGATCCTGCTGGGACAGGTGTTTCATCACACAGCAAGCCTTTCCGTGCCGTGGGGACAATGAAACAGCGCTCCAAGTTTAAATTGGTGTCTGAGATTCTCGACCTGGAGTTGCCTGTTTGGTCTGCGTCTCTAAGTCGCGAGGGTGGAAAGCCTTCCTTCCGGTCCAGACTATCCGCTCGGGTAGGTACGTGATGAAGAAGAGATTGTTATTCTCGCCTATGCGACGTCTTTTCTTTCTTGGTTAACTATCCATTCGCGGTGAGACGAGGTCGCGAGCCCTCGGCACGGAAGATCGAAGATGTGAAGAAGGTATTATGATTATGAAATAAGCTGTTTTCAATTCAACCGTCCATGATTCGGTGGTGACGGGGATATCTGAAGATGCATATGAGCGCCACCGATTATTAGAAGACCCAGATACGCCATTTACGCCATGCAAACAAATTCACTCGTCCAGAAGACAAACATCAGACAAGCCCTTGATCAATTAATCTCAATCAAGCCCGGCCCCGCAATCGTCGCCTTTGCAACGGCCTCAGCATCCGCGAAGGGCCCACTGCCATTGACCAAGGCCGCAATAGTGAGTCCGTTGAGCAAGTTCTCCGTGTAGGGGAAGGCAGCCTGGAAGGTGGCGACACCATTCTGCACGTTGACATTGCTGATCGGCTGGACGATCGGGGTGTTCTGGCCGTTGATGTAGACGACGGATGCGCCGGCAGGAGGAGCCGCCGCGACGGAGAACTGCAGTGTCTGGTCGTTGGCAGCGATGGGTGAGGTGATGACGGTCAAGGGCGCGAAGATTGGGAGACCGATGAGGTTGGCGTTGGGGCACGAGTTTGGAACCACGACGGCCTGGTTCAGTGCCGAGAAGGCGAATTCGCGGCTCGACCGTGTCAAGAATGGCTGTGCCGATGGGATCAGGTCGGTCGAGGCGCGGAAGAAGCCGTTCTGCTCGCCTTCTTGTCCGATCACGGAGCCGATGACGGGCACGACGCCGTTCGCGCCGTTAGTCGACAGGTGCAATTGCACGTCTTGCAGCGTGCCTAGCACGACGTCCGTGAAGGTCTTGGCGAACGATAGAGCGCCTGTGAGAGTTGTGCTGGGGAACTGGTACTGGCAGGGTTGGATGGCGGCTTGGTTATTGGCGGCAAGGATTGCGTTGGCGTTGACGGCGTGGAGTTCTTCTTGAGCTTGGATCGCCGTGATGGCGTTGATCATGCTTGCCTTTTGCTTTGGGTCGTCGATGCTGAAGCCGGCGACGTTGTTGGTGATGTTGTACAGCAGGTCGGTGAAGAATGCAACTTCGAACAGCTCGTTGAAAGCGATCAGTCGGAAGCTTGTCAGGTCGTCGTCCGACAGACCTGTCGGTGCGGCACCGTTGGGCTCTGTTCCTTGGCCTTGCATTTCAACCGCCTGCAGCGCGTCGGCGGTCAGATCTGGAAAGCCATTCGATAGGGGAAATGTGAATGGGCTTGCCGGGGCGGAGGGTGCAGCCGGTGCGTTGTTCCATGATTGGCGATTCTGCCAACGAGATTCTGGTACTGGGACTGCAGAAGCGATGGAGAGGAATGCACTCATTCCGATGATGGTGGTGGTGGTATGCATTGTGATTGATATGTTTTTAATCTCGAAGTATGCAGAATAAGAATGTTTAGGGCTGGTCCTTGGGTGTTGTTTGGAAGGGTTGGTTGCTTGTTACTGTGTTTGGTCTGATGAAATGCAGTTGGACTGGTCGCATACCTCTGGCATCTTATATCCTTGGTTGAAAGATTCCTCATCTTCCAGAATAGTGTCAACTGACGTGCGAGGTGACAGTATGAGGGATAGGCTAAAATTCGATATCGCTGTTTGTGTTGTTGCAGTCCACGTTGCAGCAGCCATCAAGAGTGATCTATTTTCAGCGCTATAGAAACTATAATAATCTGACGCAATGAGGTGTTTATGTAACAGTTTATTGGAGGGTTGGACAACATGGTGATCCGTGCGGTGCGGAATGATGGAGTCGCATCTTGAGTACGAACCGCCTATGAAGAACGCTACCTACCTAAGGAACCAAGCCGCTTCGTCCGAAAACATCTCAACGTTCCAAACTGCTACTGAATTGGGGAGCTTCAAGCGGCCACCAGGGCCTAGACCTGAAATGTATCTGCTTTGGTAGTTGTGACTGACCTTCTCAAGGGTCGTGCTCGTGAACCAGTGTTCGTCTCAGAAGATGCTACCGCTCACTAGTTTGCATTCTCTGAGCAGTACACTCATGTTTAGCTTCCCCAATTCACCGATCTGAGAAATTCATCCACTTTGGTGAACTTCACATGAGGGAGCAATTTATTCCACTCATCAGAGACGACCCATGAGCCCTTGAGCCCAGCGAGCAAAGTCCGAGAGATGACCTTGTCGGACAGCTCTCGCGTCCTGTGCTCAGGCGGGATTGAGGGATGTTCGATCTTCGGAGCCCAAGTTGTGTTCAATCTGCCAGCCTCCAGGTCTGCGCGTGTCACCCTTTCGATACTAATTGGTCCTGCATGTGTCTTTCCGTCAGTCATCCGCATTTGAGATTGTGACTATCGTCCAGTATTGGAGCAAAATTCAAAGAAGGACACACATACCACGAATCTCTTCAACAATCTTCAGAAGCTCAGCGTTTGTCAAGGTATGGCCATTGACACCTCCAATTTCAGGCCAGATCCCCTGGTAGTCGACCGCTTCAGCAACAACACGTGCAACGTCTTGTACGGTTGTGAATGTCCACTTCAAGTCGTCCCCTTCCGGGGCAATTGCGCGTCGATTCTCTACATCCACATGGATATTGAAGAGTTGGACATGCTTGGTAGTCTTGTGGGGACTTCCTAGGTAGTTGGTGAAAAAGCCCAGCTGGAATAGGGAGTATTCCAAAACCTGTACATTTCGAATCAATATCTGGAGGAGACTGTGTGAATGGAAAGGAACACACCCTTTTATCCTTGTTGATCTCACGCAGATAATCGCTCACGATGTCCTTCGAAGCATATTGCGGACCAGCACCACTCCGGCTGTTGTAGCACATGCCGTTTCATCAGCAATGTGACAAAAGTCCAGTAACGCGGAGATCAATGAGACTTACGAAGCCCACTCACTGGGTGCAAAGCGCTTAACTTCCGCAGCGACACTCGCGTCGATCAGATTCTTCTGAGCCATGCCCTCAGGATCAGACTGAGCGACAACAAAGGACAAAACGACTTCGACTCCCTTGAGAGCTGCAGTAAGGCCGTCCTGATCGTCGTAATTGACCTTGAGAACGCGAACGCCCTGCTTTTCGAGATCGGGATATGCACCGTCCTAGTGCAAAAAATTAGTTGATTTCGAGAAAGGACAACGATGCCAAGCTGATTGGCATTCGAGGAATACTTACTGAACGGGTGAACACCGACAGTTCATGGGTCCCTTTCTCGATGAGGGCATCGAGAATCTCCCTTCCGAGGTCTGAAGAGTACAATGGTCAGTAACTTCAACCCACATCACACAACACGAGGAATAGTACTCCGGTAGTCAGAGGTAGGGATACTCACTACCAGTGCCTCCTGCAAGCACGATCTTGACCATCTTGGCACTTGCTATATCTGCTCGAACTTCCTTCGAGAAGAATCGGAAGTGACGAAAGATATCCGAGCCACAGACTTAATGTTCGGTGTCTCTCTTCCACGAGTATCAGCGTACAAGAAGCTCAAACGTATTGTGTGCAATGGCGTGCTTCTTTAAGAGGATTGCGAGGATAAGTTCTACCTCCCAGGCACCGCAAGGCGCCAGGTTCTGCCTGTTTTTATATGTCGATTTCCCCTCACATGGCCGTCCGACATTTTGTCCGCCATGTGAAGCATTTCCTCCGTCTTGAGACTCCACTGTAGTTGGGCGGACAGGTCTAGTGGTGTATAGATCTCGCTTTGCTGTGGTTCCGATACGGCGGTTGGCAAGGCTGATGGAACAAAGGGGAGGATTGTGGGGGACTCTAGGGGTTTGTCAGAAAATCGGGGCCGCTAATTGTTGACATTTATGTAAGCAAGGAATGGAAAGGATTCCATCCGAGTTGCGTTGGGTATCTTATATGTGAGTTTGGCTTAACTTCAAGAGGATCTGAATATCATTTTCATTAAAAGGGAGTTATAGAACAGTTAACTAACCCTTGAGGATATCGATCAAACACTTCAAGCAATATCGCAGCCAATGTTCACAAAGTCGCATTCCCATTAGAAGATTTCGCTGGTGCACAAAATATGCATAAGGCGCAAAGGACTCGTTGTATGCCAAGAGAGACCTATCCCTGTTCGCCCTTACAATCTGCATAAAACCACGTTGGGTGTTTGTTCCTGGAGTCATAATCCTTCGTGTCTCATAATATGCGTTAATTCATTCCAAATCCAGCCGTACAATAGCTGACTTATGTGCATAGCCAGCATCTGCAGCAAATGCGTCCCTGCCGATCTTCTCGGTCCATGTAATCAACATTTTCCAGCCGCCATTAGTGATGTCATCGTCACCAAAATAGCCGAGATGGACTCCTCCAGAATAGATGAACTCTCGCTCAGGGGCGTCGGGTTTGGCGAGAACTTTCTCTCCAGACCACTCACTAGTGAGAATCTTTTCGACATAGTCACCACCAGGTACAACGTCCAGGTCAAGAGGTAGGTGACGGTAGTAAAATGTGTTATCGCCATAAGTGTTAAGATACACCATGACAAAACTTCGAACGGCCGGCACATAGAAGACATCCAGGCTTTGGATCAAGTGGTCAAGCATAACTGCTTTCGAATCGAAGGATGGCATGGTGCCACTCCACGATTTGCCATCCCAGTACGTATATGCTGACAACTCGTTGATACCGGATGGAGTTGTTCGTGCAACAAGAACGCCGTTAGTGCTTGGGCTGACACCGACCCGTCCCTTTCGCTGACCAAAAAGGTAAACATATCCGTCGTTGGCACCAACACCTTCAGGACCCCAGGAACGTATTCCACCGATTGTGCCAAAAGCAATTTCTCCCTGTTTGAACAACTGATTCTTAACCCGATCTGCGACAGGACCATATGTTGGGTCAACATGTACCAACAAAAGAGAATTGCCTATCTCATTGAAGACAGGGGCTTCGATCTGCTTGTCAATGTCAAAGACAAGAGTGGGATATAGCACAGCGTGCGAGGTATTCAATGAAATGAGAGACGAATCAGGCCAGATTGCGTAGCGATAGCCTGAGCCAGAGATGGCTACATTGTATGACTGTTCTCCCAAAGTCATTGGGGCAAATCCACGCATTCTTCCAACGTCATCTTGCCATTCACCGAGATTGTCCACCAGTTCAATTGGGTTTCCAGAAAGAGCATTCATTCCGCTGTCAGTGGCAACCGAACTGGAAACGAAACTGACCAACTGACCAGAGTCAGGCGTGTTGTCAATTCGAACACTCTTGGTGTCACAAAAGACGAAGATTTGAGTTCCATTAATGCTGCCTCCTCTGCCTCCATCACGTGAGATTTGTGGTACAGATTTCATTTCTGCCAATATTGGATTTGGCAGTTTGGGTTCAGTCCAAGAGCCCGTGTCATCCGCGATGGCGTAATCTCTGATCAAGGATTCGTTGGCAGTGTGGAGTGAGGTATCGCTGTAGAGCATCTCTGTGGGCCCATATGGTGTATGGCTAGGATAGTATTTTGGGGTTTTGGTGGTAGAGGAACCTAGCACCCTGAAGTCCCCAACAGACAGTTTCGTTTCTTGGCTCGCTTTATCAGTGCGAGGGGTAGAGACTGGTTTGAGTGGTGTGACCGACGAAGGACTAACTGTGGAAGAGCCAAGGACAGCACCGAGGAGCTGGAGCATGGCAGGGTAAGGGTCGTTCAGAGAGGATTTCAGGTAACAGTTATCAGCCCCGTTCATTCTTCCGGGCGCGAAGACAAATCCCATGCACTTGACATTATTTGACGTTTGGTTGAAGCTGCTGCAATGAGCATAACACTCGTCGTATGAATCTGCAAGGATAAATGGGTAGATGTCTTGAGCAGGGAAATCGACATTGCAAAGAATGGAGAAGTCCTGATCGTGCAGCATGGTTTCACCAGTACCCTCACAGATTTGGTATGTTGTGGTGTCAGTTGAGCCGATACAATTGCCCTTGGAGCAAGAAGTCGCAGAATTTGCGCGAGAGGAGGCGGCAGTTCCTTTTCCAGCGATCGGATATTTGGTGGATGAGGTGAAGACTTCTCGACCGGCGAGAGCGTTGGAATCAAGGTGAGGATACGAGGCTGAACCCTTGAAAAGAGAGATACACACCACCAACACCAGCATCAAGCGGAATGAGAAGGTTTGGAGCTTCATATTGAAGCAGGTGCTCAGTGCAGGGTTCAAGCGCGTCTTGTGATGGGCCGTCGGAAGCAGACCGGGCCTGCCGGTTGAGTCGAAGAGGAATAGTTAAAGGGCGGAAAAGGAATGAAGTTGTTGATTTGAGATAAAATGATGCCAGTCGTTGCACACGAGGGCGACTTATGTATGAAAAAGGTGAGAGATACTCAGGGCTGGTGATAGTGGAAGGAGTGACTTGGAAAAGAAACTTGAAATGTGAATCAACTCGGACTTGATTCAGAAAGAATCAGAAGAAAGCGAAGTAAACAATGGCCGGAGAAAGTATTTGTCCGCGCCAGTGTCGGCGTGGAGTGAAGATTCGATAGAAAGACAATAGCAGGCTCAATGGGTTGGAGTTGGTAGTTCGATCGAAGACAGACAGTCTCTGAGATATCATCTATTGTTCGTCTTCCAGCTCCGGATTCACTCTCCATCGACGTCCTTCGTTTGTCTTCATATACCACTCAATATGCACTTCCAGCACTCTACTACAGATCATGACGAATATATTGGTGGTCGCACATGTGCAGACACTTGCTGGAGTTGGACAACGGTAGCTGTCAAAGATCATGGACTCGTTGCAGCGACGGTGACGGTGATGGTACGGCCCAGCTCAAGCAAGCATACCAGCCTTGTCAGCACCATCTTATGTCATCCATTTCCCACGCTATGCTACACCAAGAACGCTGATCTGATCTGGTGTCACCAACTGGCCACCGTATCAGGAACCCATATTGAGGTGGTCTAACCAATGGAATTCAATCACTGCGCCTTCTTAAGCTCTTCACGTGCGCTCTTGGGCGGTGTCGCATTCTGTTCCAGATCAGCAGCCCACAGTGCTGCCCCAACTGTGTTGGTGAATGCGAAGACCAGGTTGGCAAAGGGGATCATCTCCAAAAGGAATGCTGCAACCCCAAAGGATGTATAACCCCCGCGGTGCTCTTCAATGTGAAGTTCTCGCTGTCTCTTGTTCCACTCCTTGAGCTGGAAATATCGGGTATGAGCTGCCGGACCCGCACGCTTTCCTTGTAAGATGATAAATATGACCGTCCCCACCACTGGAATGAAGTTGAGTGGTAGATACAAAACGTATCGAATAATGGCATTGGGTGTGAATTTGGCAAAGGGCTTCTTGACCAATTTCCCGAGCCTGGCAATATTGTCACCTCCAGCCTTGATCTGTCTGCCCTCTGATACCAAGTTGGTACATTCTCTTGACATCAAAGTTCCATCGAAGGTGTCTGTCAAGGCATCCTCAATCATGAATGTTCTAGACAATAAGTTGATTAGGGTGGAACTCTCGCTGAGTGTGAGTAAGGCTGCACTGATGGCTGCGACTGGACCTGAGGTGAATGCCATAATAGCGGCTTGAGGAAGATAGGCCACGAGGAACATGAAGGTGGTGACTCCAAGGCTGAGGGTGATTGTAGGAGCCAGTTTAGATGTCAGAGGCTTCCAGAGATCTCGATGAGAGATGAAGTACAAAAGTCCCTGATCAAGTCAGTCTGGAGATCTCCTCGAGTCGAAGTCAGCGAGGAACACACCTTGAGAGGATAGATGTAGGCACGAGAGCGAACTGCTTCTGTAGTCATGGCCTTGACCTTCTTGGACTCCTCAGCAGCGACCTGCTTCACTCTGTCTGCGACGTCCGCCATGATTACCTCGCTGTCTTTGAATGTGATAGAGGGAAATGGTCTGCTTTTGCTACTGGTGACCTCGAAGAAGATAGAAGCAGTGGTAGGCGTTGAATAGGATTGACCAGAGCAGTGAGAATATCAATGAAAGAGACGGAGAATAAATATCAACGTGTTGTGGGAGAGATGTCTGTTCAGTGTTGGCGTCTGCCAGTTTCACCCTTCGTCATCGCCTTTACCTAAAGGTTCGTGGATATGACATCATTGCTTCAGCCCACCGGATTCCCCTCCCGCGGAAGGAACGCGTTATTTGCACGTGAAACGCGGTGGTTATTCAGGGACGCGTTCTTTTACTACCTACCTAGGTACATAGGTAGCTATACTCCATGTCTTGTCACTCTCGATGAGACAAACATCCGAGTCGATGCAGCTTGGGCAAGCTGTTTATATACAGTCCTGCAGGCTGCAGTAACCTCTCGCCATCTGCCTGGCCAAGGACCACCTAAAACATCGGTATCTTAGGTAGGTGGATCAGCGACAGTACCAATCTCACTGTTGAATCCGAGTAAGACCAAGGCCAGAGGATTCCTCTCTCCTGTTTTCGTTATCTTGGAGGATCACCTCACCTCTGCACCCCTCCACTTCCATGGCCCATTGTCTTATCCCTGTCCTGTTTCCCCGCGCCCAGCCCATGCACCACCACTTTACGGGCTTTCGGGCCATATTTATTTGAGGGGTAAAAACGGACCTTGCATGTAACGGCACTCCTAAAGGACTTCGCTAGAATCAAACCGAATCACCGGCAGCTCATCATCAGCATGCGAGACGTGGAGTGAGGGGAGAAATGATTTGCCTGCTGATTTTGATGGCTCTATAAATGGGTTTGTTTACCTGCGCCAGGCGTTGGCACCTCATGGTTCTCTGATTGACAAAGTGCTCTCTGTTAAATACAAATGGTGGGGAAGCCTCAAAAGATTTACTGATTTTTGCAATACAACACAACTCGAAACGTGACGAGGCCCGCCCAGCTTACGTATACCGACTTACTGCCCGTTCGACCTCTTGTGCAGAAGGAAGAAGTTGAACTTGGCTGAACTCGCGCATCCTTCTTCTACATACTGAACCTCAAGCCGCCTCTTCACAATGGCTGCACCAGGCAAATCCGGTACCAACGGAGGAGACATCACAGGCCCTGGAGATGGCTCCTTTCCCCTGGCGGCCCAAATTCCGTTGGAAGACTTTCAACTGCCCAGTTTCCCTGAGGAAGCAAATAGATTAAGGGAGCTTACCTTGACCGCAGACATCAAGATGGACGAATATCAAACCCTGGTGGGACCACAACTCACCGATGCTGTCCGTGGCCAACAACCCTTACCCAATCTACCCAAGTCCATCACTCACCTAACACTGGAACTCTTCGGCCTAGGCTTCCCAGGCAACCCACCCTTCCTCACCCGCCTCGCCAGATCCCTTCCAAACCTCCGCAGCGTGACCTTCTTCAGCTGCCTGATCGACGGCATCAACGAAGACTCACGAAAGGACGCCGAGAAATTCTTCGGGGTCGCCACGCACCTTCAAGAGCTCCACATCATCGACTCCTTCGCCAGGCCGGGCTTCTTCAAGAAAATCGGCGACATCTTCTCCACCCGCTCCAAACCCAGCGACTCCACCACGGCTAGCGAAGGCCTTAAAGTCGTCGACGCGAGCTACACGTTCCGTGGCCACGAAGACAGCGACTTCCTGGCGCGGATCCAAGGCGAGGAACTCAGCGGGCTGATCGTGCCCGGGATCGTCGGCGCAAGCTTCTCCTTCGTGCCCGTGACCGAAGACGAGCTGGCCGAGAGCACGAAAGACGCCGACGGCGAAGAGGTGAAAGAGAAGCCCGCGGAGGGCGTCCTACCGTTCGCCAGCGATGGACGCGCGCCCACGGCCGCGAAGAAGCGCTTCGAGAACCTCAGCGCCGACGGCGCCCTCTCGTCCCTCCGCGTGCTGAATCTCAGCATGTGGACGCTCACCGCTGCTGAAGTGGGACACCTCCTGTACGCGAGTGCGGGCGGCGGGGCAGGGAACCTCGTCGACTTGACGGCCAGCGTGCTGCTCGAGGACGGCTGGTTCGACGCATTGGTCGAAGGGTTGGCGTACAAAGGCGTGGGCGCTGCGTTGGAGGGCATTGAGATCGTCGGCGTCCCCGTCCAAGGAAAACAGGAGGGTGAGGACTGGCAGCACGGCGCGATCAAACTCGTTGAGCTGGATGACCTCAAGAAGCTGGAAGCTGCGGCCCCTAACCTGGCGAAGCTCGAGATGAATGTCCTCAAGGTCAAGAGTGGGCCGAAGGCTGTGTTTGGGCGGGATGAGGCTGGGAAGTGGGTAAAGCTAAGTTAAGTTGGTCAGTTCACTCGAGGGGAACTACGGGTGGTGAGATAGCTGTGGATCGGGCTATGATGTATACAGTCCGGGCTCGGGATATATTAAATGAGAAATGAAGATGGGGAGATAGATAGGCTTTTTACGACGAATGAATCTATGCCATGAAATCACGTTGAGGTCCATGCCTCGAGTTCAAGTCTGAAGAGAAAAATTCATGTTCATTGAGCTTTCAGCTCGACCACCAGCGGTGTCCTAGCCGACATTTTCCTGTATTGCTATCAGCACCCACTCCTTGCAGGCATAAAGCGATAGCCATGGTGGACGAATGCTGTTCACCGGCAGTATGCAGAGTTCGAGACGCTTGGTTTGGTCTCCAAGTCGTTGGGGTATTGGCGAGCGACCGAGATTGAAGTTGCAGTGATGATGCTGGCGGATGTCGAGGGCATAAACCAGGAATTCCCATCGATGGTTACAGGGCGACCGTCATCTGGGCGGCGTTGGGCATCATCTCATCTCATCTCACTTGCGGTTGATGGATGCGACCGGTGTCTGGCAGCCACACTTGTACTCAGCAAAGTAGTTACCGCAGTAGATACATTTCTCTTGGTCGACTGGTTGCGAAGGCATGATGGCGCTTTGGAGGCTTGTGTGTCTTGACTGTTCGGGGGTATGAGTCCAGTGGCAGAGTGCAATTTGAGCGCCCACCTCGAAGGCAGGGAATGTTGGATTCGGATTTATTTTTAGTAAGGCGGTTGACGGATTTGAATAGGATCTTTTCGATGTTCGGGCCAAACTGTATGAATTCGAATAGTAGTCAAAGGATATGTCAGAAGCAGTATAAGTGAGAGAAGAGGAAGGAGTTGTCGACGATATTGACGGGGGCTGCGTTTGGTCGCCGAGCTGAGTGCTTCCATTTATTATGCTCGGCGTGAACGACCATAATGACACATCCATCATGATGAATGAGACAGGCGAACGGTTTGCAGAGCCCCTTTCCCCCCTTATTCCTTCACAGCCTCTGTTTTCCCTGTGATGGTGCTTGTTGTGCCGGCAAATGACAAGCAGCTATTGAATTTGGACATAGTTCATTGACAACGGGCCGAGGTGACAAGAGATAAGGGTGCACGTTGGGTGATTCTTGTTGTCTCAAGGTGATTGTAACCATGAGTGAAGCTAGGAGTCTTGGAAGTGGTGAAGACTATCGTTGATATTTGTCCTCGAGTGACAAAAAGCGGGTGGAAAGTCAATGCTGCTTCTTCACAAGAGCTTATGGTGTGAAGAATGGTCGGCAGAAGCAGGCTGATCCTAAACAGCGAAAGGGTGGGAATCATACACCATTCTGTCATTGCTGGCTGGGGAGAGCTCAGCATGAGACTTTCCTTCCGAGGTCCGAACAAGTACTGGAGATGTTTGACAAACAAGAGGAAGAAAGTTGCATTCGATGGGGCTTTTCGGCCGTTGGACAGAGCAACAAACGGTAGCAAACCGATAATGCTTCTGTCGAGCTACACAGGATCATTAATGTAAGGTGTCACAGTCAAACCCTCCCTTTCATCACTCAGTGTCATTCCTTTTTGTTTAGGTTTCTTTGCATCTGTTTCCAAATTTGAATGTACGAGTATGCTAATAGCCCGTTCTGGAATATTCGGTCACTCGATGCGGTGTCACATTGCCCTGACCCCCTAAGCTCTTGTTGGTCGACAAGTCTTGTTCCCGAATAAATGAATCTGCTTGACTGAATATTGTCTCCTCTGACGTAAGTTGTGCAACATACTTCACCAGCGACATTAGTATGCTCAGCCAGGGTGATCCTCATACCAAGCACATGGTAGGATCCTCCAAATCGACCCGTGTCTCAAAAGATCAAAACCTTGGGCCTTGAGTATCAAAGCAGTCGATCCGGTGACAATGCATCGATTCTAAATGCTGGAGGCCATGTACTCAGGCCCAAAATCTCGGCGAGGCCGTGTACTTATTCTGACCAATCATTGCATTAGCTTTTCTGACATTCCATGCAGTGGAACGAACCGGATAACTAAGAACACGCATGGTAGTATTCCAGAAAGATCGAGATTTCTGAGAGACCAGGCACCAACAACCATTTTCCGATAGGATCTATCAATTGGCTGCGAATGATTGAAATCACAATCTTGTCCGCTGGGGCCGGAAAGTAGATGAAGCAACAATCATGATTTCCCGAGCAGCCACGACTGCGAGCACACCACCGGCCACTGGCACTGCCGTTTAACATCCTAGGCCTCAGATCACTGTAGAAGAATGCTGGCAGAAGTACGAAGACTGAAAAGTCAGTCCGCACTCACGGTGATTCGTTTCTCCGGCCTCAACTGGTCGTAAATATGGCAACTTGACCAGTTCCTAGGTCTGGGATTTCTACCATAGAAGTGTGAATTGCAACACATGGAACACAAATGACCGAAAACAGCATTCACAATTCCTTGAAATGGCCGAGAAACTCAAGATTCATTCCCCAACATCTTCTATTCACGGATGAATGAGTTCCGGAGACAGGGCTGGACGACTGGAGATGGCGAAGTCGCGTAGAACTGCGGCAGAGTTGTGCACAACAGTGGTGAACAAATTTGACTTGTGCAGCTGGTAGCTTGGGATAACACCCCTCACCAATGAAAGATGCCTGCACCCCCTGGTAGGAGCTCGCCGATTTCTCCTTTCTTCAGGTGGTCCTGGGGCAGCGAGCTTGCTTTTTCGGGAAGTAACACGGCGATAAAGCGAGATATTCTAGGCCAGGTCTTCACAGTGATTAGAAAGCTGGAGACCGTAGGTCAACGAGGTCGAGGAGCAGCACGTAAGCTCCCTAGGGACGTTCTGGAGCCGATGGGAGCCTCGGTATCAAAATGGCGCCGCTTTAATTTCTTTTGATGCCGTTTTCAACTACCTGGACATCCAGCTGGCCCTGCACCTCTTTACAACTCATGTCCTGCAGTCCTATGTCAACCCCCCAGAGTCCCATACACACGGTCACACTTTCAGTTGTGGCAAGTGGAGGAATATGATGCCCCAGTACGCATCAGGGACTGCGCAATATACTCAACCGTCACCAAGAACCAGCCTGTCAGATTATTCCCAGATTGAAATTGCGTGCGTCAACTGTGCAGAGACAAAGACCAGATGTGACCGGCAGTATCCTTGCGGACGATGTCGTATGAAGCACTTGAGCTGTATCACGCGGCAGCCGAGACGGAAAAGGCTTTTCAGGAGAAAAGTTTCCCGCTCGGCTCAGATCTTGGTAGATGATCATGCCCAACAGTCTCAAGTAAATAGTGACTTCACAGCTGAAGGATTCTTGGAAAACCAGGACTTCTACGACTCGCGTCAGGGATTAGATTCCACCGAGCAAATGGACCTGATTTTTACCGAAGATACTAGCCTTAACTCCTTGAGAGGTGTTCCTGATGGCCAACGGCTGACTGTGGCTGATATGCAACTCGAGCAACCCAGGTATGGCATAATCGATTCCACGGATCCGACGCTACTTCAAGGAGTCGTGAACGACCCTCTCCAACATGCGGAACTTCATCCTGAACATTTTGATCCGCATATATTCGATGGCAGGCAGTCATCCAGCTTAATGGACCCTGTTGGAAGAGTCGCGGCTGGCGCAGTACTTGGACGGGGTCAGCAACGAGTACAGAGCTTCCACGGGCTCCAATATAACGAGACCTCCCCTGCATATCCAGGTCGAGGTGATCTCGAGCAGATCTATGAAGAAGATAAGATTGCACTGGCTTTAGATTGGGATCACTGGGCGATATGCCGTTGTCTTCCACCGCCTACAGCTGCTCCTGAGGATCGAAAGAAGTCATCGATCATGACCCTCGAGCAAAATTTCGCACTCCCGGGACCTTGGACCAGCCTAAAAGGCAGCCGGAGAGGAGTGCAGTTTGCGCCCGCCGAACGTTTTGTAAACGTGGAGCTGACCGAAACAACTCGAGAATGGCTCTTGATGATTGCACAAGGCTTCATGCGCGTTGCCATGGAGGTTCACGGCTTGACGATTGCTCCTCCATCTCCAGAGTCGCCTGGTATGGATGAATTCAGTAATATGGGAGGTTTCATACGATTGCCACCATCTGAAGCGCTTCATAGATACCTCGAGACGGTATTGACGATCTACGAGCCATTTTACCCACTTGTTCCAGCACGAATTCTGGAACCCAATCAATTGGCCGGGGCTCAAAATGGCCGAGGATCCAATTTATTACTCTTTTTGATGTTCGCCTTGGGATCAATGCTGGATCCTGCGATAAAAGCACGACGATTTTCTACAGCTTTGACTGAAATCTGCAGGCACTCGATCCACGATATACTCGAAAAAGATTCAGGTGCCCCTGGAAGTGGACTTCTATTCTATTGCTCATTGATTTTCATCATAAAAAGCTCTTTCAGTGGTGACAAAGCACACATGAATATTGCAGTGGCTCATAGGCATATGTACCTGACCTTAATGAGGTCGGCTGGACATTTCAAGAAACCATATCGTCAATTACAGGCACTCATCCTCGAGCACGACGGCCTCGGAAAGTTTTGGCAGACTTGGCTTGAAAAAGAGAGTGCTGCGAGACTTGCATACGGTTGGGTTATGCTAGAAACGGAGATAAGCCTGTTCTACGACTGTCGCCCGATTCTAGATACTTCGGAACTCGAAGTACCGTTGCCTTCCAGTGAGGAACTATGGCTCGCTTCGAATCCTGAAGAATGGCGTCAAAACTTGTGTAAAGAAGGCTCATTCGGTGACTGGCAGGTCTGTTTGGATGCACAGCCAGATCACTCGCTTCGGAGCCTATTTCAACTTTTGATGAATGACGAACTAGACCAACTGGATTTCCAGCCGACAATCTTACATTTGAGGCTACTGTTATACCCGCTCCACGTCCTTGTGGCGGAACTGGGTCAGCTTTTGGACAGCGGCTTAGTATCTTTGCAGTCTCAATGGTTCTCCAGTACCACCATGCAAAGTTCATCAGTGCTCCGTTATGAGGAGATACGTCAGCTCTTGCAAGCATGGCTTGGTGCCTTTCATCGATCAAGTGGACATGGTGCTCGATATCGTGCAATGAAAAGTGCCGCCTTGACACTCTTTCATCTTATCAGCCTCAACCTATCTACCGCCTTCAGCAAACTGGAGCGTATCGCTCGGGAGGGTTATGACGTCTTTGAGTCTCAATCAAGCACAGATTTGGCTTCAAAATGGATCCGCGCCCCCGAACATGCCATTGTGCATTGCGGCCAAGTTTTCCGGTTATCTAGAGAAATGGACCAAGGAATATGCCCCATTTGGAGTGCGGCAGCCATATATCGCGCTACTCTGATACTATGGTCGATAAGCCTGTTAAAGGCAAATTCTGCAATGGGGCAAGAGACCATCAGATTCCCGCAAAACCACGGGAAAGAACTTGTGATTGATGAGGTATTGTTTCAGGACGATGAGGTTCAACGATATCTTCGACGAGGAAATGCCAGGCCCATGCTTACCACCGACGACGGACGGTTGATTTCACTGGATAACCCTGGAGAACTATTGCATTTGGGTATCACCACAGTAACTCGGCATTGCTTGGCAACATCTTTCTCCGCTGGAGTTAGGTTCAAGCTGGAGAAGATGTCCAAGCTTTGGGAACCAAAAGATCGGTCTATTTTCAACCAAGGGTCACTTGTAGGGGCATGATTATCATCGATTGTGAAAATCCATCAGATGGAACTATTACTAGACTTTCTCCAAGATAGCAATGTGCAACTTTGTCTGTTCAAGCTATCTCGATCTGCATCTCCGTTTTATGGTAAGTCTATAGGTCGAGGCCTTCGAACCAACAAAAGAAGCATTGGTTGCACCTGTGACCCCGCCGACCTATTCCAGGCTCGATCTATTTGATATCACCGGACTTGATCCGCAGTCGATGCCCAAACTTGTGGATCGCCGCAACGGCGAGTACACTGACCCCGACCAACGCGGCTTGGGTGCCGAAGCTTTTGTCGTAGCCGATCGCCGCGCCCCATGGTTGCTGATAATAGCCAACGCTAAAACCTCCAGCCACACGAATGAAAGAGATCCATCCAGCTATTTCGGCGGACGCGGTTGGATATGAGTCAACGGCATATGCAAACGTGGTCACTGACAGAATAACTAGACCACATGTATGCATCCCCCAGCCCGCGATAAGTACCCCGACATTGAGATGTTGTTGCAAACCTAAGCCTAGAAGGACAAGTCCCACGATCATAAGGATGGCGGCAATGTATGCCATCCACAAACGGACCTCGGGCTCGAAGATACCCTTATGACGGCGAATGTATCTTCTAGCCAACGAATCGTTGGCGAAGTGGCCGAACAGCTCCCCAATCAGGATGCCGACAACAGGTGTGAAGTACAAGAATCCGAGTTGTTTGAAATTATAGCCATATCCCCCAAATTGGACGGGTGTGGCAAATAGGATGGCAGTGCTCACGTTGATACCTATCGCCCAGCCAAAGCAAATGAAACTACACGTGTCAGTAAGTTTGTTTCGATGTGAGCCCAAGGATTAAGTACTTACTAGTTGAAGAAAATGACAAGTAAGACAGGTTTCAAGATTGTTCTTGCAAAGGTGGTAATGGAATGACGCAAAGTGTAAAAGTGTTGGTGGTGTCGGATCTGCCACATACCAACGACTCGAGACAGACGATCAAAAATGCCGGAACCACGATGTGGCTGTAGCTCATCTGCCACGTCTCGATTGTACCAGCTTTCGTCCAGAAACAAGACGCAGCATATGAGGAAAGCAGCCTGCATCGCAAGACCGAGCCACAAAACAGGTCGCCATTCCCCAAGACCTGCAAGCATGAAGTTTCCGAACAGCGGACCCAAGTATGGTGAAGCTATGAAAAGAGCTGTCCATATACCGATCTTTCGAGCCCGCTCGTGGAAGAAGAAGATGTCACGAATGAAACCGATGGCAATGCTGGGAGGTGCATTGGAGAATATGCCCTGGACAACACGAAGAGGGTAGTACTCGTTCCAGCCGGGACACAGGGCGACACCAAGATTGAGGAAGACGGAAATGAAAGCCGTCCAAAAGATTGTGGGTGCGCGTCCCCACCACGTAGACAGAGGCACATAGAACAATGCTCCGACGCCCCTTGAAAGCTGTCAGTACGATGTAATTGGGATTTACGCGGGCCATACTTACAAGAGAAGGATGTTGAGTGTGTTTGCATGGTTGACTGTATTTGGATTCATGTTCCACTCGATGCCTTGGGCAACAATTAAGGATGTACAGCTTCCAGAGACGGCGTCGGCCACGAAGGCGCCATAGGCGAGCGTGAAGAGGATAGCATGTTTCTTCGAAGAGGACCAAAGCAATGGATCTTCAGGATTGCCTGATGGTTGAGGTAGTAACACAGTCTGAAGATGATCAGTCAGTTTTAGCTTTCTCAAGGATGACATGGATCGCTGAAGGGAAAGGATCCTCATACATGGCCGTCTTTCGCCAAAATGAGCTGATGTTCATTCTTGAGGCCAGCGTCAAGGAGAATCCCTCCGTCCACCTTCGCAACTGAGGGTAGGGCGGAGTAGACCTGCAGACCTTCCTCTACGTGCAGTGCCTCTAGAGCTGGTTTTGATGCTTGTGTCATGTTGAGGAGGGGGATAAGATGGCGAATTGTTCGGTAGTTGATCCATCGTTGGACTATTTATCGTCAGGGGAGGGCGCCGGACCAACCACTTCCCCGTGGGTATCCCAGGCAAGTCTGGAGCTAGATCATCTCCTACGAGTACTCACCTTTCAATTGAAAAGGCTCGTGTACATTCCCCAATACCTGGAGAACCAAGGGTCTAGATCAGTTCTACCTAGAAGTCCGTCGGTGAACAGGATCTGACCTCCGGACATTGCACCGGACAACCCCATCCCAGGTCCGAGAACATGAAAAGAGTCCGGAGGCGTTAAACTCTATATTGCACCACCAATGGCGTGGGGACAGCAGGTTCATCAAGATCGGATCATTGGGTTCGGAATTGGACTCTCGACATCGTCGTGTTAATATGTTGGATGGATCCAAACCATGATGGGCCACATGGATGCCCAAGAAATGCGACAGAATTGCAGGGGCACTATAGTCTTGCCACCCCATAGACCTTCGGAGGCAGAGTCCGAATGCTCTACATCGAGCTGGAGGTGTATTGTTACACTTGTTACCACAGTCCTGAAGGGATCCATCAAACTCTCCATGAGCTGGGCTTGTTCAGCCAAAAATTTCATCCTGCCATTGCGACCGCCTTTCAAGATCGCGACATCTGAATACTCACAGCTAGACCAGGGCCGTTATCTCACACCCCACCCCATCCCCTTAGTATTCTACATTTGTTCTCCACGAAGTACACAATGTCTATCGACAAAGAAGAAAATTCTACGCATCAATCTCATGTCGTGTAAGACCTTTAGACTCAGTAGCGGAGACTCAGTGCTGACACTTATCCTAGCGACCAGACCAGCCGGATGGAGACTCGCAACGGAGTTGCACAATATCTGCCAGATATTGACACGGATGTCTTCATCGTTGGAGCTGGCGTGACCGGACTGACTGTTGCAGCTCTGCTGGCTGCTGCTGGCGTACGAGCGTACACAATCGCGAAGCACAGTGGAACAGCGCCGTCGCCACGTGCTCATGTCACTAACCAACGAACTATGGAAGTGTTTCGTGACATGGGCATCGAAGAAGCTGTGCGGCAGGTTTCAACACCATTGCCACTTCTTGGGAATGGAGTTATATGTACTAGTCTTACAGGTCTGGAGCTAGGCAGATATAGCTGCTACGGTGCTGGGCCCCATCAGCTTTCCGATTTTGCACAGGCTAGCCCTTCGGAGATGGTGAACTCTCCGCAACACGTTCTCGAGCAGGTTCTCTTGACTCATGCTCGAGAGAAAGGCGCCAAGATCAATTTCTCCCATGAACTGGTCGGTATTGAGCAAAGTGAGTCAGGTGTGGTGGGCAAAGTTCGAGAACGACAGACTGGAGCTCGGTACACCGTTCGCGCAAAATATGCGATCGGAGCTGATGGTGGGAGATCGCTTGTTGCGGAGAGATTTGGTTTCGGGTTTGAAGGCCAACCTGGTCTTATGAATATGCTGACTTCGTGGCTCGAAGCCGATGTCACAGAATATACTGCATACCGACCATCGTGTATTTACATGATTGCTCAACCTGGAAACGCCTTCTGGGTCGGATCAGGAACTTTAGTCGCGGTCAAGCCTTATACCGAATGGTTACTGAATCGTCAATACAATTCTGAAGCAGAGATAGATACCTCAGACGACGCCGTCATCGCGTATGCGCGAAAAACATTAGGAATCCCCAACCTGAAAATCAAAGTCAAGGACACAAGTCGATGGCAAGTCAACAATGTGTACGCAACTGAGAATTGCCGCGGACGCATCTTTTTGGCCGGCGATGCTGCCCATCGCCACCCTCCTGCGAGCGGACTTGGAAGCAATACTTGTGTCCAAGACGCTTACAATTTAGCATGGAAGTTGGCACTTGTCGTATCAAACAAGGCTGACAGCAGTCTTCTAGAGAGCTACAACCAAGAACGACAACCGATCGCGAAACAGATTGTGGGCCATGCGATCCAAACTCTATACAATTTCGCCAAAGTGCCCGAAGCTCTGGGATTCCAGCAAGGTCAATCAATAGAAGAAGGCTACAAGTCACTTGAAGATCTATTCTCCGATGTTCCAGGCGCGGAGCAGCGGCGCACTCTACTGAGAGAGGCCATTGATCTGCAAAACCGACGATCTAATGCTTTAGGCCTGCACCTAGGTCAACGCTACACAGATTCCAGTGCAATTGTTGACGACGGTACTCCTTTTCCTGAACACAGACGTGACCCAGTGCTCAACTACGAGCCCACAACACATCCAGGAGCCTATCTGCCGCATGCATGGATCGAGGTCAAGACGCGCCGCATGTCGACGCTAGATATCTTGGAGCACGGACATTTTGGCCTCATCATTGGTATTGGTGGAGACCCTTTCATTAACGCAGCAGAAGCTGTCGGTCATGAGCTGGGTGTAAAGCTTCCTGTGTACAAGCTTGGATATCGCTGTCCCTACGATGACGTACTTGGCGAGTGGCATGCTGCTCGCGGTGAGCTCGGCGATCAAGGTGCGCTCCTGGTTCGCCCGGACCGTCATATTGCGTGGCGGACAACTAGTCGTCCTGATGATCCGGAGGACGCATTGCGTAGGGCCCTTCGTCATGTACTTGGGTTGGACTTACGACGTGAACAGCAACTTGAATGAGATTGTAGAAGATACAGTCCAAATGATAAAAGGTCTTGGGTGGTTCGGTGGGCAATCTAAGTCAGAGAATAAATACTTGCGCCCCTGATACATCCACAAATGAACAGTCATAACCTAAACTATCTGCTATTTCACTTCCTCGCCCCCTCTTCTCGTCTCCTTTCCCTCCAGTCACCACCGCCACCTTCTCTGCATATTGGAAAATACTGCCTGGTCATCCAGCTATGACTGATGTTCTCGGTACTGTGATAGCAGTGCCTTGCCATAGTCATTTCCCTGGGGTGTTCTCACCAAAGTATGAATATGAAACGGCAAAGGTAGTGCATTGTTCAGAAAAACGCCAGAATGGTGATCAAACTCGACCATGACCACAGGCGAGTGTATCTTGTAGTAGAAGCCGTCCTCACGATTGAGAGCCCCAATCCAGCAAAAGTAGGTTTCGGTCCAATAGGCTTGGGCCTCTTTCATCTTTGCTGCGAGAGCTCTATCGGGCAGGTAATTGACGCTCAGGGTAATCAGGCGCCTAACCAGATCCTGTTGTGGTATTGATAGGATACTGACCTTGACGCCTTCATATGGGATGACACGATTGTCATGAAAAGCACCGCCCAGGTGACGCTGATCGGCCGGATGGTATCGCCCCTCTGGATATTCCGGTCCTTGAAGCTGCTTGTATACTCGTACTTGATCAATTGCTACCTTAGGATCGACCCCTTCCGCGATTGAATTGATCAGGGCAAGAGCAGTTTGTTCTTGGTCTGTGAACAGCTCGGTTCCAGCATATGGTCCGTCATCAATGACGTTGGGTTCGGCACCCATAAAGACAGGCGTCACTACCATCTGAGTCTTGAGCACGAAACAATTCATGTCGAAGTGGTGGCCGAAGATCTGCCATCCCCATGGCTCTGTCTCGGAAGGCGCACCAAAGATGGTGATGTTGTACGAACGCACGTTGAGCACCTTCTCGCCATTGACTATTTGGCCAAGATAGTGGTTGACTTTCATGCACCCGTACGCTTTTTGATATCCGGCTTCGGACAAACTGGCGCGCATCAAGCCGTGTGCCGCCTCGACGAAGGCATCTGATGACTCTTCTAACCGGACGCCGTGGCGCGAGATGTAGATCTCCGGGTTCATCCATGCGCGCCATTCGGGGGAGTCAATAGCCGTGATCTGTAGACTCTGACGCTGCTGGGGATTCGCCGCAGAAATTAGTCGTTTGGCTGCTCGTACCATTTCTGCGGTAGGCGCGCCGTGGTCTTCGTTGAGTCTTGCCAGGTGATGTACATTGGGTATTAAACATCCATCAGTTGTGATGCCCTTGTATGGTTCTTCGTATAAACGTTGCCATGTCTTCCGCCAGTTCGCCACGAATGGCTCAGCACATCGCTGTTCCGCCCATTGGTACGCATCTGACTGTGTAAGCTCAAGGCTTCTGGCACAGTCAGCAGGAGGTATGAAGTCTCGCCAGTTTGTTGATTTCAAAGTGATTTTCTCCATCCCTTGTCTTGCCGTGAATCGTCAGGGCAACTCAAGTTGGTAGAAATGATGTGTAGATGTGCACAATACTTGCTTCAAACGTCAAGCAACTAGATGATGCTGCCGCACGTAGCCAAGTAACTCAACATATGACGCGGCACTAAGCCTTGATAGCAACGCGATGTGCACCCGTATAATCCTTCGCTTTGCAGAGATCATGGCCGGAAAACCTCCGGAAAGGACCGACGAATTCCTCAGGTAAGGATTTAGCATGGGATGAGAGACAGCACTGGCAACCAACCCACGGAGTGGGGCGATATGCAGACTTGCTTCGGAGCCCGTCACGCCTGTCCCCATTCCCCTGCGAATCCGATAGTGCTAGATTCTGCCCCACAGTAGATGCTCTACAACAATCTCAGACAGCTCAAGTGAACAGAGCAATCGAGAAAAGGCCTTTCAAGCCTCTAATTAGCTACTTCGAATGTCTCTGATGCATTCTTACGCCCCACTAAGGTGCTCTGGACCCTTTTAAAAAGTATACCGGTCAGGGTCAGAAACATACTCAACCACGGCAGCCTAATGAAAATGGAAAAGGCCGACACTCTATGATCAGGATGGACTAGCATTTTCAGTACCAGCATTCCTTAGGATCTATGTCTACGGTAACAAAACCTAGTTTCATCACGCTAGAAGTGAACGCAACAAGTAAGTTGCCAATGCGTGCCTCAGAATGCAGGGCGATTCAATGCATCAGTGGCCGTTTGAGCTTCGTCTTCCAGGATATTCCACCGTTCAGACGAGCGGCATCTGAGCTCAAATGGGAACTCATGAGGTTCTGTGTTCATACCTCGAACATCTACACATGGTGGTTAGTAAGGAGCGTGATTTGAGAAGTGTATATACAACTTACAGTCATAATCCGGAGGAGTGATTTCCTTTCCGGTGTCCGGGTCGATGCTCTTACTGATGTTGCAAGCCCAGCCAACTCGTGCAACGATGATATTCAGGCTTCTTTCCGCAATATGAGCGCCTGGACAAAGGCGACGTCCAAATCCGAACACCGAATAGTTGTTCATATTGGGATACTGGGTGAGTGGCTCTCGATATGTCGGGAATGTTGGATCGAGCCATCTGTTGGGATTGAATTTGTAAGGATCAGGATACAATTCTGGGTCGTGATGTATGGCCCTATGTAATTGTCAGAAATCGGTGTACACAAGAAAGCCATGAATAAGTCTTAACCATAGATTTGGGTGAATCATGCTTCCTTTTGGAATAAAGAAACCGTTGTAAATGTCATCAGCTGTAGTTTTGTGCGGAATGCCTAGAAAGGCACAGTTAGCATCGAACAACACGCCAGCATAAATATTGGCCCACGCCCGCATCACGTACCACCAGCGGTCACTGGCCTCATTCTTGCCACTTCCTTGACGACTGCTCTAACAGTTGGCAGCTGTGGTAAGTCATCGAAAACTGGGAGGCGATCCGAACCCACGACACGATCAAGCTCCTCTTGCATAAGAACAAGCCATTCTGGGTTAAGCACCATCAGTAGCACCCAACTCATGGCCAAAGACGCTGTGGTCGAAGCAGCGGCCGAATATAAACCCCCGAGGACATATGTACCCTGGAGGTCTGAAAGGCCGAACTTTTCCTTGTTCTTCAACCACATTCGGGTGAAGCTTGGTCCAGCCTCACCTTTTTCAACCTCTCTTTCCACATTATTGACTAGACCACTGAAAAGCGACACTTCGCGTTTGCGGTGCGCAGCGGCCTCTTTTTTGAATGGAGCTAGCCACGTAGGTACCCAAAGTAGCACTGGGAGCAGATCAACCAGATACTGACCAGGGGCGGACACTCGCTCAACGTTGAGTTGATTTTCGTACACCAGTCGGACAATATCTTCCTCTCCTGTTTCAATTCTCGCACCATAGGTGAGACGCAGGATTAGAGCTGATGCATACCGCTGGAAGAGAGTTCTATATCTCTTCGGCTGCCGTACCAGGTCACGGACGAGACGAGCAGACTCCTGCATCTGAAGGGGTTGGTAAGATGTAGCTGCTTTGACCTGAGTGACATGATGCTGAAGTTTGCGGACCCGACGCCACTCATCTGATATTACAAGTCAATGTTAGTAGAGCGAGGATGCGAATTGAAGTTGGTTGAAGACATACCGCCATAAGGTAAGAAGAGAGCTTTCTTGTTGTCGCTCAACAGTTGTGAGCCCATGGGCAGCTGTTCGCGGGAGCTGTAAATGTCTCCCCTCTCACGGAGAAGGTCATTGGCAATCTTCTCAGTCCCAACCACGACATTCACTTTCCCGAACGCTTTGTACTGGTATATATGCCCAAATTCTTCACCCCATTCTGTAAATTTGAACCAGAAGTAACCTCTTTCGCCTTTCTTCAAGTCATTGGCGCTGCCCACAATTGGTTTCCCTTGGTATCTATTGTCAGCAAAAATGCAATATGGCATTAAGTCAGATTCACCTTTAGGGCCAGGGAGCGGCTTCGCGCCTTTGGGAATTGAGTACTTTGTTAGCCGATAAATCTGTACAGTAGCAATGACGAACGCAATTGCAGCAAGACTAAGGAGAGACAACATCCTTTAGCGATATAATGAGTTGATCTACCACGAACATCGATCTAACAGTACGGGAGCCTTGCGACAACATGGAGGTATATTAATCATGAGCTGCCAAGTCACAGCATGAATGTTACCGGCTGGCGTGAACCCTTGAGCCTAACAGGCAGGTTGTGTCGAGAAGGTCGGCATTTGGAATCGCTCGGAGCTCATTTGGGGACAACTCCGGACGAGGTCTAGTTAGTTAGACATTGCACCTCGGTGATCCAATGCTTAAACCCCCAGTCTTTCCGAAAGCTAAGGGAGGGGGGCTGGATTGATGTCCGATACTTAGGCCCGGACAGTGGCGCAACAGCCTCATGCAGTTCGTGATTAAAGTTAGTGGGCTACATGCATTCTCTCCCATAGCCAGGTGTCAGGGGCCGTGTCAAGGCTGTGTGCTTTCAGCTAGACCATTAACCGGCAATCAAATATTGCATGTAGGTAGAAACGTGGTGTTCATCGCATGCTATCGGAAGAGCATTTTGCCATGTCTGCTAAAGCCTATCGACTGGACTAATTGTTGGTATGGATTAAATAGCTGCGTAGGTGGAGATTTGTCTTCTCAACGATAAAACATATTACATGAGCTCATGTACATCCCACGCATAACTATACACCGAAACTAGAGGATACCCTTGCACCAAGAAGCGACGATTTGTATTGTCTACATTCAATCTGAGGGCTTAACACCGTTGCTGACCACACCATTCTTTGTAGAGCCTTTCTCCTCGGTAAGGGGTCGCGTCTCGTGCAGCCTCTCATTGCGAGGCAAGATGCCGGCATTTTCGAAGGCTCTCAGCGTCTCGATCCAGCATTCGTACGAGTCCCAGTATCCAGAGTAGCCAAACCTACGTGCCTTGGACATAGATGACAATGTCGGCCATGATTTCCCGACCGACCAATCGAAGAAGAACCAAGTTCCCCAGTCGAACGCTTCCTTATTGCCTCCATACTTGTCGCAAACTCGATTCCATATTTCCTTCTTGTCAGCTGCCCAGTCTTCCATGCGAAATGAGTGTGCCATCTTCTCTTTGTCCCCCATGACCTCCCATTCAGTTTGGTCCGGAATCTAAAGTGAGGGTTCAGCCACTACTACGTTTGTGTCTTTGAAGCTCAGGATATCCGGAAGAAACTTACCTCCATGCCAAAGTACTTCCCAATACGCCTGAAAAGATATCTCCAGATGTAAGTGTCGCCATTTACAGAGTTGAAGGCTTCGTTCTTCGTGTGCTCCTGTGTGGTTGCCCATACTGATAGATCGGCGATAGCCGGTGCATATGAGCAGTCATCTACGGCGTTGTAGAAGTATTTGTTGCCAGGAAACTTTGGAACTTGACCCATTTCTCGAGATATCAGCAAATAAAGTGCAAGAGTTATGGCCTCAGACATTCCGTTTTCTGTTTGTGGGAGGCTCCACGTCAGAATACAGGACATTTCATCGCGTTGGAAATTCTACTCACTACCAGGAGTGAAACCGATGATGCCGTTGGGTCGAATGATGCTGTATGCCCAGTTGCGGTTCTTTTGCAAGTTGAACATGAAATCTTCTTGCGCGTAGTAGAAGTTCAGCCCCTGATCCTCATATCGGGGCAGATCTTCTGTCATCGGACAAAAGACAGGCCCAAGGTGAGGGCCGTAGTGCTGTAGATCAAGATCAGTAAGCGTCACCTGGACGTATTGGGCAGGATGTCCATTTACCTTTCCTCCTGTCTGGAGGCATATGCGCTGCAAATTTTGACCGGCTACCTTATCTATGGCGACAAGAAATGTCTCAAAGAGTGGGACATTGTAGTCACGGAGCTTTGTAAAATCATCGGTGTGAACATAGGAGGTGTAGTAGGCATGCGTGACTGTTTCACAGCTTCGAGACAATTTCGAGATGACTGTGTCGACTGGCTCGAGGAAATCCACCGCCAGAAATTCGACGCGTGGATCTTGCCAGTAGTTCTTGAGCGGACTTCGCGACGTCACCACGATTTTGGACCACTCTTCCTTTGGTTGACGAATGAGATGCTCAACAATTGCGTTGCCACTGATACCGTTGCAGCCTGTCACGAAGGCAACTTTGGGATTTTGGAGAGGCATGATTGAAGAAGATGAAACTTATGAAAATTGTCGCAACTGTCTGAAGGTAAAGATTGGCCGTGATTTATCTGTGCAGCTCCATCTCCGAGCCATGTGCCCCGTCCAAGTTCTATCGGAGTTGAGCCAATCCAAATTGGTAGGCAACTAATTGCATGATTGAACTCGTTTTCGGACGTGGGGCCCCAGGGTTGCGGGTTGGGGTAGCCCCGATACCATGTGCTTGCAGGGGCTAGCTGTCATTCACATGGTTGCGGGGAGTCGTTATACGATGTTAATTTGACACCTGCTTTGTTCAGAGGCCACAAGTCCCCTTTGTTGATGGTATGTATATCCTAGGGAGAGCATGCAGCGCAAAGAAATGTTGGGGGGTTTCGTCGAGACATGTGTAGTAGATATTCAATAATCACCCAGATGTTTTCAAGGACTCTGAAGTAGACTTATGTGAGTGAGTCCTACGCTACAGTTACGAACGAGTAACTAATGCGATACAGCATCTAGCCATTACATTATTTTTATTTAGCATTCAAGTCAACCCTTTAAGGCTGCCCGAATTTCTGCTCCCAGCTGGCCCACCTCGAAAGGCCCGATCGTAGGGCGATCAGCCCACTCGGCCAACTGGGTTACCATGTCTACAACCGCCTTGACACCATCAATCGAGTTTCCAATGCCTAAAGTGGCCTTTATATGACTTTTCGTCTGCCGAGAGGCTCCCAAGGCCATAATAGCTGTAGCAATGACCAAGTGCGACTCTCGGGGCTCGAATACCTCTTCGTTTGCCTTTGCGATAAGATATCCCCATGTAACCACGGTTGAGGTCGTGACTAAATTCAGCGTATCGATTAGTCTATCGTAGCTTCCCGGTATCCTCCATCTCACTTAAGGAGGGAAGTGGCTAGGCGACACACTCACTTAGATCTGTGAAATAGCTGTCCATCAAGGCGAAGATGTCTGAATTGCCTACCCCACGGTAGATCCTCGCACGAAGCTCAATCCCCTTCCGCACGTCGTCCTCGGTGATGATCTTTTTCCGAAGACTCTTAGTCGAAGCATAGACCGCGCCTTTGCGTTGAATCACTCCAATCATGCCATAGCAAGCCGGCATGCATGTTGGTAGACCCAAGTAGGGGAATATTATCGTGATGGCTTCGCGAAACCACAGAAACAAATACTCAGACTCCTCGGGCGTCGCGTTCAATGTCAGATCGTCGAAAAACCGACCAACGACGTCTGCGCGGCCAACGGCACAGCACGCCGCGGCCTTTCATAGTTAGCAAGAGTATTCCAGTCTATGGGAAGTAAAGGACTTCTCGCAGACAATCAGAGTATTGGCAATATTCTTTAATTCCGGCTGCGCAGAAGCCAAGCGGGATGCGAGGCCGAGAAAGAAATCTCTCTCATATGGCTTTGAACCAGGCTTAACGTTAGTTGAGACATACTTTTTGTCCCACTGAGACATGAAGTCGTCTGTATCCCACGTCGCCATGATCGTAGGATCCAAACGAATTGCAAAGCCTCTTAACAGTGCTGGACCAAGGAAGGATAGTGCTAGACCAGAGATCTTACTGCGAGGAGAGATTTGATCAATGAACCGATCATATCAAGCTAGAACGAGTGCGAACTACTGGACCAGCAATGATGCCCAGAGCAAATGAGAATATTGTACTTCCGGGACCAATGAAGGCCTGGGAGTAGCCACAGAAGCCAGATTTCGGACATCGGGATGGTGGGCGGACATCATTGGGGATCCCGACGTGGTACTCCGGACAGCCTTCGCAGCACTTGCCATCGACATCGGTTAGTAGACACCACCATTCCAAACCCAGTGGATCCTATCGCCAGCAGGCATGTTTAGTCATCCTGGCTTTGACCATGTTAATGACGAATCTATGCTGGATGCTCATGGTATATGGAAGCGAGTATCCTTGACCTAGCATAGCAGTCAACAACGCACCCGACGCCATTTACTATGCTGACATCAAATCTCTCAGGCAGTGTCCTACTGATCCTCCCAATATTAGGATTCGTCGGGCATCTCATATACAATAAATATGCATACGGCATCTCCAGTATCCCCGGCCCATTCTTCGCGGCGTACACAGATCTCTCGAGATTCCTTGTCGTTTGGGGACGCCGTCCCGAACGTAGACACGTGGAGCTTCACAAGAGATACGGTCCATTGGTGAGATTGGGCCCGAATTGTGTCTCTGTGTCGGATCCAGCAGCTATCAAGACCATCTACGGGCTGGCGTCGGGATATGTTAAGGTAGGCCCTACGCAGAGAAGGCTACAGCCTAGCCTCTCAAGACATTTGTCGAAGATGACCAAAGGGAGACGTTGGCTAACTACCTCCTACGAAGGAAAACAGTCTTCTTTCTATACTGTCCAACAACAGGCTGTATCTCGAGATGGACATCTATTGCAGGGCATGTTCAACACCACGGACGAACAGTACCATGCTATGCTGAGACGAGCCGTGAACAACGCATATGCAATGAGTACACTCGTGCAATTCGAGCCATTGGTAGACTCGACAACGACCGAGTTTTTCAAACAACTCACACGTCGCTATGCCGATAGGTCAGACCAGATCTGTGACTTGGGCGAGTGGCTACAATTCTACGCTTTCGATGTGATCGGAGAGCTCACTTTCTCCAAGAGATTGGGTTTTGTCGAGCATGGCACTGATGTGGACGACATCATCAGCAATTTGGAAAGTGCTCTAGGGTATTTCGCTGTGGTGAGATTACCCTTGCTTGCTTGCGATGATACACTGGGAGTGGCTTATGGCTTATGGCTTATGGGCCTACCACTAGAATCACATACTCACTCACACGTTCACCACAGATCGGTCAAATCCCCATGCTCGACAAACTGCTAATGAAGAACCCCATTCGGATGTATCTCAGCCGGTGGGGAGTCATCAACGCGACATCTCCCGTAGCAGTGTTCGCGAAGAGCCGCATGTCCAGCCGTCTCACGGGGCTGGAAGAGAAGCCACCGGGAACACCTTGGACGAAATCCAGTACCGACACGAGCACGCGAAGAAGAGACTTCCTCTCCCGCTTCCTCGAAGCCGGCGACAAAGACCCGGCATTCATGACACCGGAGCGAGTCCTGTCCCTGACGTCCGCCAACGTCTTTGCAGGGTCCGACACGACGGCCATCACGCTGCGGGCCATCTTCTACTATCTCCTCAAGAACCTTCACACACTTGGCGCGCTGCGTAAGGAGATCGCACAGGCAGAGACAGACGGTGTGTTCACACGCGACGACAAGCTCGTCCGATGGGCGGAGGCCAATTCGCTACCGTACCTCGGTGCCGTGATCAAGGAGTCGCTGCGCATCCACCCGGCCGCGGGTCTGCCACTTGAGCGCGTCGTTCCCCACGGCGGTGCAACCATTTGTGGGCGATTCTTTCCCGCGGGCACGATCGTGGGGTGCAGTGCGTGGACGATCCACCGAGACCGCGGGGTCTTTGGTGAGGATGTCGATGTCTTCAGGCCCGAGCGCTGGTTGGAAGACCCTGTTCGCGCCGCCGAGATGAACCAGGTGCTGTTCTCCTTCGGTGCGGGCGCAAGAACCTGTGCTGGCAAGAACATCAGCTACCTGGAGATGTACAAATTGGTGCCTGCGATGCTCAGGACCTTTGACGTAAGTGGCCCCCTGTTTTGGTGAACTCAGGCTGACCTGCTATAGATTCAACTTGCCTATCCTGAACGCGAATGGAAGCTGGACAATAGATGGTTCGTGAAGCAGAGCGAATTCTACGTTCGGCTGACCACGAGAGGCACCAGAAGATGAAAAACATCTTGGGACGGAAGGCTCTTGATATTGTGCTAGATAGCGCTTCAATTCTATCATAGCATTTCCGTGTACAAACATGCTCTCAGACTGCAATTTGAGAGCACAACTAGGCTATAGGCCCAAACAATGTAGAAAGATCCTCAAGTAATTCTTTCCCTTCAACAGCCGGCGGTTCCGCCGGTAGCATGATGGCGATCAATCGTGCCCATTCATCGCCATCATTATCCCAGCCATGCATGGTAGCCTGCTGTATGACAAATTCGCCCTGGTGGATCTTTGTCTTCGTCCCATCATCCAAGGACAGCGTGACGTTGCCTTTCGCGACGATGATATAGTCAAGCGACAGGGAGCGGTGCATAGCTCCAACGCTTCGCGGCGGAATGTCGACGATGCGAAAAATCGACCCCTTGTTCACGAACCCGGTGTCGGCGAGTGCTGCATCGTCTCCGGAGTTGACGTCGGCCGGGCTGGACTCACTTGACCAGATCATCGCTGAACCAGCACCATGTGGTAATATGTCCACCGAGATTTCACCATCGCGTGCCACGATAGCTTTGCCCTGGGCGTTATGCGAAGTTACGATGCGGCGCATGGGAGATAAAGGGGATGACATTGTGGCCGCCTCTTCCTGAATTGTGGACTGAGCGAATGAGGCTTGAGAGGCTTTGCCAGAAATCTCGTAACCAGTGAGCTGGGCACTTGTAGCTCAGAGGGCAAACCCGAATATACGCTCAGGACGCTGCAAAGAGCAAAAGTGGGGAGTGTTTCGGAGATCCGATGCTTTCTGGGGTTGCCGCAACGCGGAGACCTGCTTGCCAGCGCGCGGCGATGGAAGTGGGGTCAGCCCTTCACCCAAGGAAGGCCGTTGAATAGACTACGCCCATACAAAAAGTCGACAGTCTTCAAGCGCTTAAAATGCTGACAAGGCTTAATTGAAGTGGCTGATGTGTGCGTGTGTCGTGTACCCAGAACAATGACTAGACGCGGAGTCAAAGATTGGTCAATCCGTCAAGTTCACCAAGCAGAGATTCTGCAAGATAGGAGACGTTCTTATGCCGCCTCAGAGCCTCTGAACAGACCTGTAAAACCGTGGTTGCGTTATCAATGGCCTGTAGACTGTCATCTTCAGCAGTAATGCAAGGTCTGCCCACGCCACGGCTCAGAAAGGGTGGCCACATCTGATCGTCCGGAGGGAGCCTGTCGATCGCAATATCGACGAATCTCGTGGCGGAGGTTGAAATCTCCCATCGTGCGTCATTATCTACCCGGCTGAGAGTCCAGAGAATGATGGCCACCCGATACAGCGCGACTGGCCACCATAGCGGCCGGATCTCGATGTCCATGCTGTGGAGAACCCGTAGTATCTGGCCGCAATGGAAGACGGCTTCTCGGGGTCTGCGTAATGCACTTGAAGATAATTGTGGAACAACTTGGGGCTGCTTTGAAAGCGCCCGCGAGTACTGTTCCACTTGTGACCATGAAGTAGCCAGTTTCAGATTCAGCAGATGGTAGAGAATTTCTGTGACTTGTTTCAGAACCAGATGTCTCATTGTTTCCGTCTGCAAAGCATGAAAAACATTCCACCATGTCTGTAGGAGAGTTCTAATTTCTTCGAAGCGCAACGTAGAAGACGTGTGGCATGCGCTTGCCGAGAACCGTGATGGCTCCTTGTCGGAAACACAGAGCATGAGTTCGCATAATTGAGCGGTTAAAATGTGTATAGGATACAGCAGGAGACGCATGTGTAAAATCTGGAGCCTTGGTTTCCAATGGTCGAGCTTTTTGTCCAAAAGAGCCTGGAACAGCTCTGGCAGCGAGGTCTCCGAGGGGACAAAATCCCTTGAGTCAGCCTCCGGTCCATGAGATTTTTTCCAGCATTGAAACCAAGTCGAAGCATCGGGTGCAAGCCAGAGATCATCACTGTCCGGTAAAGCCTTCTCCAAGTCCGGGATTGTCAGTGTTGGATTTTTGTCATACAGGATGCTAATTTCTGCGTCAACCATAACTAGGCTGGACACAAGTCTGCGAAATATGAAAAGATTGTCAACAAAGTTCTTGGAACTCTGGAAAATAACTTACCTCGACGTATGCTCTCTTTCCAGCCAGGAATTCCAGAGAGGCTCGATGTCAGCTTCGTTGGAAGTGACATACGGCGTGTTTGGATCTCTCTCAAAGAAGCGTGAGTGCTTTGATAACTATTGAAGATGAGTTTTGTCAGCAGGATTATCCCCATGTCATGAAGATTATGATAGCAGCACTTACCATCAGATATTGGTGCATTTGGCCGAAACTCGATTCCATGAGCCATTTATCTCCACTAAAAGCTGCTTGATAGGTACTCAACAAGGCACACTCGGCGAGAATCATGCTCCGCGGATTGGTGTTATCTTTGTCTAAAAGATGCAACGTAGTTAAACGACAGATTTCCAGAAGGCCCATGGACAGTCGACGAGCCTTGATGGCAGGGTCCCTCATCGCGCCATAAGCAATCATTAGTAAGAGCATGACGATAGCAAGCTGCTCGTGTTTGCCAGAAGCGATGGCATTCGGATCGAAGGATCGTTTGTTGATCAAAGGGTAATATGGCTCGAAACTTGTCAAGAATGTTTCCAGATAGATTTGCAGTACAGGTGTTGGTGGGAGCATCAAGATGCTCGACGAACTGTAGCGTTTCAAATCTGCCATCAAGAACCGAGTGCCAGGATTAGAGTTGACATTGAGCGAGTCTAGAGTTAGCCGGAAGAAATGCTGCGCTGTCGCCAATATCCTCTCCCTGGTTGTTTCGGCAAGTCGGACATTCTCGAGATACTCCTCCTGTCTAAATTTTTGCGCTCTCCAAGTGGTAGAGATATTCGACCATGGCGCCGAATCTGCGTAATTGTCTCCTAGGCGAGCAACGTTCTCAGCCGACCGTGTGGGAGTTGCCGCCGTCTGAGCTCCAATGGATGGAGCTGACGAAAGGGCATCCACTGGAAGAAACAAGCTGTGGAAATTGGGCGTCGCTGCCTGGGAGGCGAATAAGCCCTCCCATCCCCAGTCAAATTGCGAGAATATATGGTTAGTGTCCTCTAGGCCATCAGTTATACGTGTATCTAGCTGTGGGTGTGAGGATGTTTGACTATCTGCTTCTGGAGGAATAGCGGTGTTTGGGCCACCATTGGCATTTGCGGCTTCGATTGTGGCAGCACCTTGCGGAGGAAGTAGCGGGTCAAGATCGGGGCCTTCCAACATCGGCGTCAAAGCTTGTGCCGTTACAAACTGGCTACTGGCGTGTCTCGGCGAATTCGAAACGTGTAGGTTCTGGTGATCAACCTTCGTTGCCTCGGATGCCAATGTTTCCCTCGTAGAACTGCTGTGGCGTAGAGCTTGGTTGCTTGCACGTAGCAACGGAGCTGGGGTAGTTGTTGTGGTTGAAGTCTCCAGCAATTCAGTTTGCTCGTGCCGGTCCTGGTCATCCGGTATCCTCTGCGGCACATCAAAGCCTGAATGATCAGACCTGGAAAGCCGAACTGAAGTCCGCGGAAGGCAAGAGAGATTCTTCAAGCGACACCGAGCACAAGGGATTTGACGATCACACTTAGTCTTGTTTCTAGCACAGCGAAGACATGCAGCTTGTAGGGCTTTGTCGGAGGCATGAGAGGAGCCACCGTGGGTAACATCAGCCACTTGCGTTGGTCTTATTGATGCCGGTCTAGAATGCGTGGTCGCGTGCTTTTGAGCTGCATCTCTTCGGTCGGAGTCAGAAGGATTGCGAGAAGATGGGGACAGGGCGATTTGTTGGGGGGTAGCAACAACATCGGCGACTTACTTCCGACTGAAGGTCAATTGACACACATCGCAAGTGAACGGACGAACTTTGGTATCTAGGCGCGGTAGTATGATAGTAAGCAGTTGAATCTGGGTCGAGGACAGGTACTACTCCTTACGGGTCAGGACATGACGTTGCAGATGCTCCGCTCGGCTGAACTCTCGGCCGCAATACGTGCAGAATACCATCTGACATGGAAGAATCGGTATAGTTAACTATTCATTAGAAAACGGAGCTGAGAATTATCGACTCGGACTCCGTGTCGTGTCCAGTGCTTGTTGTGTTGGAGAACGCCAAGTGCTGTCGACCTACTCGTAGGTATAGATTGGGATCGGGCCATCGTGCGGAGTATCTGGGGTATTAGCAAAGCCGGGGGCGAACGGAGTAATTCCCGGTCTACCCACAAACTCTGGCGGTTTTTGAGAAATGGGCGCCGAAGAAGAGGTCAGGTTCAATGCCTGAGCTGAATCGATAACAGAGAGGCCAACATACAAAAGTTCATCAATTGCTTTCTTTCCAGTGACCAAATTCAATTAGACCTATATCTATGTATGTGGGCGACAGCGCTGAATAACACGCTGCAATACAATACAATGCAAAAGATTATATACAAGGAACGGAAAAGACATTACATCCAACGTGATTGACACCTGGGTGGTTCAATCAGCTAAATCAAAAAAAGAGCGCTCAATAAGGAGGTTTAATCAACCGACTCGATCGGTTCTCCTTTTCCAGCTCGTCGGTGCTTTTGCCTGGGCTTATGCCCGCCAGTAACGAACCCAAGTCGAATTTCTCGTTGTTGGGTGGAGATGAGATTGGAGCAGCGCTTTTCCGGCTCACGGGTCGTGAGGTCTTCTTGATGCTGTGAGCGTCCCTCGTTGGTGGTGAAGAGTAGGTGGCGCTAGTTGCCCGTTTGGATTGAGGACTCGCGTCTCTAGCTTCAGATGAGGTTGCAATAGGCACTTCGGCTGATTCATCTTGAGTCCGAGCTGGAGAGATGTCTCGCGGCCATGTTCCTGGTAGATTGAGTGTTGATGGGATTTTCGGAACCGGAGGAACATCAGAATCTCTTCGGGGATCTGCTGTGACAGCTGGAGCCGTCGCCTTATCATGAAAAGTCTCCTCTTCATCCTTCGGAAAAGTCTTGCTCGATCTGGAGGTCTGAGGTCGAGAGTTCGTACCGTTCGGGCCCTTTGAGCGATTGTTGTCGACATCAAATGTGGAGAGATTCGCCTCGTCAGCTTCTGTCCAACTAACCATGCTACTTGTCCCGCTGCTGACAGTGCTTCTCCTCGACCCTGAACCGATTGTTGGTCTGCGTAACGGACTCTGCCGTCTTGTACCATTTCTAGCATAGCTCGACAAAGCACGTTTGAGATCAGTGACTTTGATGGTCGAGTCTCGACTAGATGTGGTTGGCTGTCTCGAGGGTGAACCAGTACCGCTCGTTTTTCTGTTCTTCGTGAGTGTTCCTAAACCACCAAGTAAGCCAAATGTCGGCGTTGTCGAGCCATTTGCGCCAACTGGAGATTCTCGACCACTTGTGGAACCATGCTTGCGAACTCCATTGACACCGAGATGGGGAGGCTGGGGAACAGATGACGTCGCAGTTCGTGAACCAGTCATGGAACCGGCGCTTTCCTTCTCCACTGCAGCAATACATGCTTCTCGGGACCAACCCGCACACATCTCATCCTTGACTTTTTGAGGAAGTTGGTCTTCACGAGAGGCCTTAGGAGCTGCTGCAATCCCATAACCATAGCCAAAGCCAAGTGTCGGAATGGAGAATACTCGGCCAGGAGATGAAGGAGCCGATGTTGGAGGGGTAAGAAGCGAGTTGTCGTATGCAATTGTGATCTCATCGACAACTTCTTTGATTGACAAGAACGGTTTAATGGTCTTGATGGCCTCCTCTGGATAGTCTGGTCGCTTCTCCGTAACGGTTGGTAGCTCCCGAATATCTTCAATTGGCAGCGCAGGTGTTTTGACCTTCTCAAACCAGATACTAAATCGTTTCCTCCGTGAGATCTCAGCATTGATCTCGTTTCCAACCGCACTGACCTCGAAGTCAAATTTCTCGGCAATGGTCCACAGATAGCCATTGACAATACTTGCAACATTGACTTTGCCGTGAGGGGAGACTATCTCTCCATTGAGGGAAGTTTCCTGTAATCTCAAAATCATAGGTAGTCCGGTTCGAATGGCATTGACTCCGAGTCTCTCAACCAACTTAGTCAACAACAAATAGAGCAACAATGTGTTCGGTTCGTTTTCAGGATCATCGAGAATGCTGTCATAGATGGCCAAATGCAACAGCTGAAGAAAACTTGATCTTGCCGGTTTTGGCTCTTTTCGGGACGCTCCAGAAACTGCCCGCTTAGCAGTGATAGCCTCACCTGGTTGTAGCGTGCTCCTTTTGTTCTGCCCGTGTTTTCGATGTCCATCCTTTGGCAATAAAAGGTCAGCTTTATTCGTCTCCAACTTGAGCCAGGCCAGTAGCGCATCAATGTAGGCGACTCTAACTTCTTTCTCTTCATCCTTCAACAGCCATTGAGTTCCTTCCCAGACCTGCACACCAACTCGAGAGCGAGCCTCAATAGGAGCTCCAACAGGCCCTCTTCTGCTATTAGCACGGTACAAAATATCCTTGATTATTTGAACGGCAGTCAGCCTGGCAGTGTTGAAAGAAAAGAAAGAAGAAGTCGATGGATCTTCTTGAATATTCGCGGATTCAGCGATGGCTCTTGCAGCGGCCGCCGGATCGGTTATCGCAGCGACAGAGTTTGGAACTTCAGACTGAGCGGATGGTTTGAGGCGTGCTAAGATTGCCGAAATCATATCGCTAATCTGATCGGTGTAGTAGATGTGATTTGATAGCGACGCAATGCATTTTTGGAGTCGAATGATTAGTTCCTGTCGTACTGCGGAAGGGTTGGCTTGGGTTTTTGATGGTGTTTTCGGTTTTTCAGAGCCGCTCAATACAGTACTGGGATCGAAAACTTCCTTGGCTTCGCGAAAGAAGCCTGTTGTGTCGTGTGATTGAGGAGAGACGAAACGAGTGTTTGGTCCACCCAATTGTAGCAAAGCCAACATGTGGTAGATCAGACCCAGTAAGACATCCATAACACTAAGACCGATCAAGTTGACCGAGGAACTGAGCAACCAATCAATAAGGGTAGTGAGAACAAGCTGTTTCTCAAGCATATCTTCAGTGATGGGACTTCGGACCAGCGTCTCCATGGCGGTCAGCACGATGATGAATCGATCTTGAACAGGAGTCCATTTGGCAATGGTCTCGAATAATGAAGTCGCCCAATTCCCTTGTCGAGCAAATTCCGGGGCGATCTTTGGTGGACTTTTGGATGCAATGAACTTCAAAGTCAGAGCAGTGGCCAGCCTCGTCTGGCCACGAGTGCTGCCAATGCCAATAGAAAAGATTTGCTTCAAACATCTCAAGGCCAATGCTCGAACCTCTTCCTCCGCGACCTTATCTGCCCCAGCGGTGGTTTCCACGGCTGTCGCGGGATCTCCCTCAGCAGTGTCGACGGTGGTGACGGTTGCAATGCTCATGCGCCTCCTACGCGCAAAATCATCATCAAGTCTCTCGCTAGTTCTTGCCCGTTGTTGAAGAGTGGCCAAAACATTCTCTTCTTCCAAAGATAGGTTCTCGAGTATAACAGGCATGACCATGTTGAGTTGACGGTTGGAGTCTGCGGCAATAGCTTCAGAGGCCACGACGGCGCGGAGGGCCCGGAGACCAAGATTGCGCCATCTCAGGGACGCAGGTATGGAGTCACCAGGTTGTTTACTGGGAGTGTTTTGTTTTGAAGCATACTCGGCATAGAGTTGAACAATAGACAAATATTGCTGAGCGCGCTGCTGATCGGCAGATAGAGAAGCAGCATCAACGTGTTTACAGTAAGCTTCAAAGGTCGGAACCGACTCTTCCACCATGTTCACATCTTTGGATCGCAAGATTGAATCGAGGATGATCAGAACCGAGCGGGCGTAGAGAGAAATGTCGCGGGGGGCCTTTTCAATGATGGCCGTGAGGATCTGAAGGGTGATCTGGACATTACTATAGCGCAGTCAGCGAAACAGCTTCGATGGGATTCGAGTGAGTAATTTCAAGTACCCCAGTCTCCCTTTCCAGACATCATGTGCATTCTTCTTTTCCAGAAATTCGCCGACTTTCTGCAGTTTATGCCGACGCGTGCTCGCGTAGTAGAGCAAGTAGCTCAATTCGGAGGCATTTGGCTTGACTTCTTGAACGGTCTTTTGGTATTTGGGATAGCACTTGAGGACCAAGACTTGATGCTTGGGACGACATTTCTGGCCCGCCGAGTGAATGGGGTGGAGGAGGGAGCTCATGGTGAGGGATTAAGCGGATTAGGAAACGGACGACGAGCGCGCTGGAGCATTTGCGACTCAAAGGAGGCGATTTATGAGGTCCGTGGGAGCAGCATAGTTGGTTCAGTCGTTGTTGGTGGTGACGCGTTGTCAAAGAATAACGATGGTTGAAGGAGCGCACGTGTTAGGAGTAGCGAACGAAGGGACAGATGTTAGAAAATAGTAAGCCTGGGATAAGTTGATGGCCGGAATGAGCTGCTAAATTAACGAGTGCCTTGAGTTCTTGTTCTGCAGGATGACGACTGTCGTCTAAACGATAGCAAGAATTGAATGGATGGGATCAAATAGTGGGAATGCAGATGAACAAAGTGTTTGGTTGACCATGTGCTGCAGCGATCGTGACTAGGATTGGGATTGGGAATCGGATATGGATGGCACGAGTACGACGAGCCTGGACTCCGAGTCTTGGAGAAGGCAAAGATGATCCGTTTGCTCCGCAGACCCCCGGTTGATAGTAGTGAGATGGATATCCGTACTGGACAGTCAAAAATTCACCCTTTGAGATTCAAGTTCGGGAACTTTTTGGAGGGCCACTTTGGGCTTTCGTGTTCGGTAAACCGTGCGAGACCGAGTCCCTGAGAAGCTCCTATTGATAGGGAACAACGCCTCGTACAGAGTAGTGCTCAAGAGCTTGAACAGGGAGATTAGGCTGGCCCTTCGCCTTACCTTCCGTGATCATTATGAGCCTACGTCATACTCCCACTAGCGATCCATTAGCCAGTCGAGGTCACTCAACGAAGCATCGTACCTGCAAACAGACAATTAGGTATCCGTACGTAGATGCTAGGTACCTAGAACCACACCCAAGTACGAGTTTGCCTACCGTCTAGGCATCTCATGACCCGTTACCAACTCACACCCTCACATCACACAGCCCATCAATGACCACCCAAAACCTCTTGATTAACCCCCCCTCCGTAAGAATAACATCAGCCCCCGTAGCCTTGACCTCGACCGAGCCCTGCTCGCCCAATTCCTTCCCCTCCACGGCCGGCCCAAACTCCCAGGCCAAATAGATCATCTCCCCGGTCTGCTTGATATTTCCCTTGGGCAGGAACCTCCATCCGGCGCGTTCGTCCAGCAGGGCCCCCGCCTTCTCGCTCACGGCATCGTGGCCCACAAACACGCTGCCATCCGGTTCGTGGAATTGCACGTCGGCCGTGTATGTGGCTTTGACGGTTTCGAGGCGTTTGGCCGCGTCGCGTTGCGAGAACACGTGCAGGAGGTTGTTGATGGCGAGCTTGTGCGCGGTTTGCGGGCTGGGGATGTTCGTGTTGGTGGCCATTTTGATTGATGGATGAGGTGTGTCTTAGTATGCGGTTGGTCCCAAGACGAGCTGCTCACTCCGAAGCAGGAATTGATGTCACGGAATGTTGATGTAGATACGGCGCTGAAGAGATCAGGAACGCCTGTAGCGATACTCACTAATTTCAACATATATGCTCGTTTCTATATATACCCACAAAATTAGAATCATCCCCCCGGCTTTCCTCAATGCCGCGACGGCCGTCTGAAAGAACGCCGCACTCTCCAGAAGTGCGTATACCCAATCTCCGACCCTGATATACCTACTGTAGTTGAACATTTAGTCATCCCCAAGAAACTCAATATCGGTGCGCTGAATAATCACTTCCTTCGATCAAAAGATCCCGCTATGTACTGGGATTCACGGCTGAGCTTCTATATGGGGATAGTACATACATACCAAGGTATGTCCACCTAAATTCGATTAGGAAATCACTTTGGGACTCTTGTGTTCGCACATCCGGTGGGTTGAGACTAATAATGGAACCACAAGTCTCCATGTAATGCACCAATCTAGTGTTCATGCCAAGTATCCAAAATGGTCAGGTAGGTCGATCGTCGAGCTGGTATGGTTGTCGGCTATCAATATTTATACAGCTGGTCCCAATGTGTGGATCAGAAGAGTGTTAACCTCCAGGAACGAAGACGTTCAATCAGTGACAAAGCGCTGTCCTAATGCATTATTGATCCACTCCACATTGCCCAAATCCATCATCTCCACGTTTTTTGCCTTGCTTAGATAGGCAGGACCGGGTGGCGGGTCCTATATCCATATCCCACCTAACTGACAGCCACTTCCATAAACTCCTGTGACTTCGGACATTTACCCCGTCCCCGCCCTTTTCCTCGACCCCAGAAAGTAGAACACACATAAAATGATGGTAGCACGCATCAGAACCGGCTCACATCTCTCCCAAATAGCTTAACAGCAACCCACTGAATGGGCACGAGGAATTTATTCCTCCAACTAAGCGTCATCGTGAGGTATGCACCGCGCCACAGTAAGAAAGCGATCCAACCCCTGAAATTCAACCCAGACGCTTTACTCGCCACCCCTCCATTCCCATTCCCGTTTCCATTCCCACCACGCCCCGAAACCGGCGGGCCTTGCAGAACAGCCTTGGCACCACCGATGTAGGTGAAAACGCCCAGATTGCGGAACGTGAACCCTTTATTCTGCGCAAACGCCTCGGGGTCCGGGTATTTATTCAGGGCTTTGGCGAGCCACAGGGCCTGCTGGTTCGCGACCTGCGCGGTGGCCGGGAGGGCGCCGGACTTGAGCTTCGTGGCGTCGCCGAGCGCGAATACATCTTTCACGTAGGCGTGGGGCTGTGGATCGTGACCGTGGTCCGGATCGCCGTTGACTTCGGCGTCGATTGCTGCGTCCGTTGTCAGGTTGACGCGGAAGTGGTCGTCGATGAGGAGGGAGCCGGACCGCGCGTCGCGCTCGATGATCCACTGCCGCGTATTGGGGTTCTCGACGGCCGTGGCACCGCCCTGAGTGATCTGCGCCGAGCGCACGGGGAAGCGACGTACGTGGTTGAGCGCCTTCTCAATGAATGGGTTGTTTTTGTTCCCAGTTGACCATACGCACAACCCAATGCCGACGTCGCCCTCCTGTTTCGTGCGGATGGTGTAAACGCGGCCTTTGACCTGGTTGGCTTGGTTCTGTCGCGCCTCGGGGTCGTTCGGGAAGCCCTTGCGTAGCTCTTCGACATCGTGGCTGGTCTTGATCTGCACGTTCTGCCGTTTATACTGTTTTACAGCATAGTCGGCGAGGCTGGCGTCGAACATGGGCAGGACTTTGGGCGCGACGTCGTAGAGCGTTATCTGGATGTATTTGAGGAGTTGTGGGTGGAGGCGGCTAATGTCGTCACGGATTAGGTCTGAGAGACACGCGGCAAACTCCATGCCTGTGGGCCCGCCGCCAACGATGGCGAAGTGTAGCAGGTAGCGCTTCGTTTCTTCCGGGATGATGGGGAGTCGCGCCAATTCAAAGAGTTCCAAGATGCGTCGCCGGATGGCTTGTGCGTCACGTACGTCTTTCAAGAACATGGCGTTCTCGCGGACTCCCTTTGTGTTGAAGGTTTGGCTGTAGCATCCCACTGCGATGACCAATTTGTCGTAGGACACTGGGAATGTAGGGACTTGGGTCTTGCTCGTCCCTCCAGCGTGGAGGGTTCTTTCCAGTACATCATTCGTACGTTCTTCATTCACTTTCCTGGGTCCTGTGAGGGCATGTCCAACATCTGGATCCAGGACGGAGGGCTCCACGGTGATGAACTTGTCGACGAAATTGACGTCGTCAGCCCATCCCTGTACGTATTCCACCTTACTGTTTCTCTTTCTCACGGACTCCAAAACGTTTCGGAACTCGAGTGTGCCGACGGTGGTGTCGTTCAGGAGAGGGGTAAAGACGAAGTATGATCGAGGTGAGACAATGAGGACGCGATATTTCTTCGGGTCGAGATGGCGAGAGAGGACGTAGCCTGGGTCATGGTGTGCGCATTAGAAGGAGGGGTCTTCACTGACAATAGATAGGCGGGGTTGCTAGGTACATACCTGCCCATCCACTCCCCAAGATGACGACTTTCTCTCTCGTGTCGTTCTTTAATTGTTGGGGAGGTTCAACAGGAGTAGCATATGCACGCCTCTGAGACGCACAGAGAACTGTACGGGTAGAATGTTGAAACAGAGTCTGTCTACAGACTAGATCCCGCCCACGTTGCCATCGAGGCAGTCCCAGTGCCCGAAGACGCATTGTGTAGGTTTTGTCAATATGTTTAGGATGGTGAGGGGGACGACTTGGGGGACCTAGTTACCAACCTGTACAGAAAGCCATCACCACCTCAGTCCTCAAAAATGAAGGGAGGGAAATGTCTTGAACAGGAGTCTTAGACAGGTCACACAATAATTGGAAAGACACCTGGTATAGTATGACTCCAACATGAGGATGAATGACCAAAAACCCTCAGGTCCTGATCCCCGGAGTGAGCCTGAGCGTCTCGGGATCGACATTACCTCAACCGCCCACTGCCCTGAGTTCATCATTACAGACCAGGTACCATTTTCGTGCGTGCAAACTCTAAAAAGACGGGACTTTGCGTCATGCCTGCTTCGTATCCGTACAACCGCCCTCCGAGGCTTGCCAGTGAGTGAATGTACTTCAGCGCATGCTTCGTCGTACGGATAGTCGTGATGACTCGTGACTCCTGAGAGGACCGGAAGTGGACCGTCAACGAAAAAGGTTGAAAGAACCTCCCGGTAGCCGAAAAAGTGTAAATTTAGGCGGGCATCAAAGGTTGAGGACAGCCCCTGGTAATTGGTTGAGGAAGATGTTGTCCGTTTTGAGATGGATGACTCTTCCGGTCCCCGAAGGTGCTGGCTCTGGGTTTTGATGAGCCCGCCCGCACGGAGAGTGGGTTGAGGCATGTACGAAGTACGAGTACCAGTTTACGGAGTATCGTATTCAGGTCTTGGGAATATGTGGGTGCGAGGTGCGAGGTGCGAGGTGCCTATGGTCGCTGTTATGGCTTATCGAGATTCAAATGCTTAGCACAGGCACTTCATACATACCTAGGTATGCATACTCTACTGCCGCACACTCCGAGTTGAAATACAAGCTTCAAGTTCAAGTTGGGGGAGGAGTCCATCTACGCTGTTTGCCCGAGTCCCTCGGCCCGAAGGCAGCTCATGGCGGAGGATGGGATGCGATGGACAGTTGGAGTCGAGCGCGCGTGCGGAATGTGGAGGTCATTCTCGGCTAGACATGTGCTTCTACTTCTAGTACGAATACATATCTTGGAGCTGAGGCACACGATAAGGAATCATGACTCCCTGCATTCAAAGGTCTCTGACGGCGAATTCCTTAGGCACATGAATCTCACACCGAGGTACACCGAACTCTAGAATGGACCACATGGCCATGTCCAGAAAACTTGAGGATTTGTATCATTCACGCTCGTTATCGTCATCATAGTGGTCTAGTCACAGATAGAAAAGGGACGAACACTTCTCTGAGTGTCCATATCTCCTTCCCTATCTGGGAGAGCTCACATCGTGACAGTCCTATCCCTTGGTGAAATATATACATAAACAGAAAAAGACACCTGGCTTTCTTTCATGCATGTTCTTTTTCCCAGCGGAATCGACCCATCGTATGACGGTCTTCGATGATTCGAGAAACGTAAACATTCAATCAAGGGGAAAGCAGGACCTTCCCAGCCCCATCCCATCCCATTTTGCACCAAGCAAGCAGAATTTCGTTCCCTGAGAAATCTCTGAACCTCTAGTACTCCCTGTCACAAGAACGTCACTGTCATCCACCCACTTTGTTGCAGGATCAACTCCGGTACCGTATGCCACGCTTGCACGGAACGAATGACTGGTGTTGTAAGTAAAACTGTAGATTAGTATGTTCAACGAAAAGAAATGTTGGGTGTTTGTGACGGTACCCCCCAGTGAAAAGTGACGAGGGCAAAGGAGGGATCTCCTCTCCTCTCACTTTCAAAGGCGAATCACTTTTCTCCAATACCACATCACTTCTCGGCTTTCTGCCAAGAGTTCAAATAGGCCATTAATCCAACTCCTATCAAAACCACTCCAAGCATAGACACGTACGGTGCTGATTGGGAGAGAGGATCACCATGGACATTTCGTTCTTTGAGCACGGTTGCGACCGCCTGCTCCAAATGCTTCGGAAGTTTCGGGGTTCGTACTTGACCATTGGCATGTGATGGCCATTTGGTCAAAGTCTTCATGTCAAGCTGCGACTCTTCCGCGGCAGTGGCCCTCACCGCTCGGTCAAGTTCTGTTGATGGCTCTCGCTCGATTGACTCGGTGCTTTTCGCTGCCGACTTTTCATTTTCCTCTCTGATTTTTGTAATCATCTCAGCAAGGCTAGCACGAGCCTGGCTTGCGTCTGTCTCGGCAACTTCAGCACGCCGTCGGAAGTGATCCATGTCGGTCTTCAAGGTCTGCATTTCTGCTACGACCGCATCCAGGCTCTCTTTTAGTTGTTGCTCTTTTGACGACAATTCTTGATCGTCTTGGACCGATTCAGGTTGGGTCTCAAGCGTGGATTCGGTGCTCTCGGGGTCAGTTGATCGCTGCTCTTCCTCTACCTGAGACACTGGCCGGGTAGCGGCATGTTGCTCAAGTGTTCGAACCCGCTCTTCCGCACTCTCTCGTGCGGAACGCTCCTCCAGAAGCTTGTCTTCTAATTGCTTGACCCTGGCACCCTGCGAGTCAAGCTCTTTCTTTGCGATTGACAAAGCTTCGATCAATGACAACATTTGACTGCTTTGAGTGTTGGTGGGAGAGTGGTTTGTACTACTAGCTTTCGCTGTCTCGCTCCGTCTGAGTAGATTCGTAAATGAGCTGCTGCTGGCTGGACTGGCCCTTGAAACATCAGGCTTTTCTGGAAGTGGTTGTTGTGGGGGAGGTGCCGGAGGGTCAGCAAACCGATTGGCATGGTCGAGTTTCACACTCTTGGACCGTCCATTTGATTGTCGTTGAGCGTGGTTGGAGGATTCTTTCGTCAATGATTGTATCTTAGATGCGTCACCATTAGCATTCATTACTGCGTTAAGAAAGTATCCAGCTTGATCTAATTCTTCCGCCTGCTGCTTGGCAACACGCATTTCAGTCTACTACACGTCAGTTCATGTCTGGACAAGATAACGATCGTCACTTACCGCTACCGTCTTGACAAGGTGTTCTATATTCATAGGGGAGCCGTAAAAATTCATTTGTCTCTGTTGTGCTGCTGAACTCAGTGGTCCTCCGGCAACACTTGAGGTTACAGAGGCTCGACCGTTGGTGACAGGGCCACCTGACCGACTGCGTGAGTGCATCATTGGGGTGCTGACGGGAGAAGGAAGTAGTGAAGTACCATGTGAAGGATCTAGATCTCCAAAGCTGAGGTCGAGGACATTGTTGGAGGAGCTGGGCAAGCCGACGTATTCCACCTTGGCTGAAACTTTGTGATGCACGATGGTCTTTTGGTCTTCGCTGACAATATCAATACCAAGCTCAAGTGTATCATGCTGACGAAGTTCGTGTGGTTCGGACTCGCGGTTTTCCGGTGACAATCTTTGGCCATTGACAAAGGTGCCATTGGAAGACTTCACATCGCGGATCCATACTTTCCCGTTTCGTTCGGCCCAGACTTCGGCGTGTTGACGTGACAAGACTTTAGAGTCGAAATATCCATTCACCGGAGTCGGCACTGTCTTTGCGTTGGTTTGACGACCGACTCGAAGAACCTCTGGATAAAATGGTAAATTAATCTGCTTTCTTTCGAAGGTGCCATTCATGGGCAACAGGGCGAGAATCGCCAAGGTTTCGGACAGCGGTTGACCATTCAGGACTCTGGCGCCGTTGGCTTGACCATTGGCATTCTGACTGGGCAGGGCGGGTTGGACAGCGTTCTTTCCAATCAAAGAATTACCGATGGCGGTTTGGAGGGAACCATTGGCGCGTGCGTTGGATAGACTCGACGTAGATTCCGATTTAGAGACAGGCCAGAATCCTCCTCTTGGTTTTTTCTTAGTACTGGAAGCGGGTTCGGCGGAGGAATCGGACGAGGTGAGAGGGGTTACAGTTGTTGTAGAGCTAGTTGAACTGTTGGAGGAGAGCGAAGAGGAGGAATTGCTTCGAGCGACAGTTTTGCGCTGAGGCATAAACATTCGAGAGACTTCGTCGGAGCTCATGGCCGAAAAGCCTCCACCAGCACCGGCACCACCAACACCATTCCAATTAAGTCTAGAGATGTTTTGAAAATTCGGGGGTGATGCCACAGCAGTCGTCATCGGGAAGATTAAGCGCCAAGCGGGGGTTCAAGTCAAAGGCGGGATCGACTCGAGTCTCAGAGAGACTGTGAAAAGGAAGCGAGGGCGCGAAGGCGTAGTACGAAGAACAAAAACAGACAAATCTTGGTCGGTGGACTCTTCATGTGTCGGGACTCGAGAACTCGTGAAGCGTGTAGAAATCTGCAGGGTGGCGTGTGTTAGCCGGCTCGAAGGACGATACGGGTTTCTGTATCGATTATTGAGGGCGTATTGGTGATCTCTATCAGCTGAAGCACGTACCGAGATGAAGTTGAATAGGAGTGGTGAGGAGGGCTGCTGCTCGCGTGCGATGACCGTGGCCAGCGGGGGTCTGACAGAGAGTGGTCAGGGCGACCCGCTCAACTCCAAAGTGGACGGGCGAGCGCAAAAAGCGGGCGATAGAAGAAAAGGCGCGGGATAGAATACACGGATGGCATTTGAAAGAGGATTGGAGGGAAGTCGGATGTGCTGAAGCGTGAACAAAGGTCAATTGTATGATCAAGAGCCGTTCAAAAAGAGTCGCCCTGGAGGCCGCCTCAGCCCAAAGAGGATTAGCGTGGTAGAATGGGTCGGTTGGAAAGCGCAGGTGGATCATGGAGTTGCAGATGGCAGGTGCATTTGGAGTTTGGTTCTGGTTCTGGTTCGACCTCATCACCAGACAGATTCACAGTGTTGCCTTGTTACAACCACACATCCATTCTGCTTTTCCTTTCATCTCAGTCCTGCTAGTACCGTACAATCGCCAAGATGCCTCCAATGCCACAATCTGCACAACGTCGTGGTCCTCACTGGACTGACAAGCGTACGCCCTCTCGACTCTGGTATATGTTGTGAATATAGCTGATGGCATTATAGTCAAAATGGGCATGTTGATGGGAGGGAGTGAGTCTTCACGATGAGATAATAGAGCTCAAAAAGAACAAACTGACCGATTGAATCCACAGCTGTTGGAGGAATCATGGGACTGATCTATGGTGCGTCCGCGACGCCGAGATCTCTTAGTTTCCTATCTACTAACTTGCAATCACTCCAGGCACCGTGACCGTCTTCCAGTATGGCGGTGGTCAGGCAGGCGTCATGAGAACACTAGGAAAGTACATGGTGGGCTCAGGCGCCACGTTCAGGTATGATGCGCTCCCACCTACCTGGACGACCATTCTAACACCGAAATCAAGTGTCTTCATGGGCATCGGCAGTCTAATTCGAACCGACTCCCCGGAGATGGCTGCAGCAGTATGGGCTCGCTCAAGATATCCTCCTCTAGTCCACCCGCGACGAGATCGACTACAGCTCCGCCAATGATCCTCCCGGTGGCAACAGCATACCACAATGTACATAACTTGAATGGCAGGGGTGGAAAAGTTGATCCATAATCATGAACTGAGCGATACCCTTGAGACAATAATGTGAACAATATTGATGCTACAAAAGATGCGAAGGGCATCAACCATCTTTCTTGATTCTCCTTCCCTTCCATTGATTACTGTACACGCAAGGCCACGACCACTATGCTGGGTGTTGATCTAAAGCCTTGACTTTGATGACACAAAAAGCGCTGTCCAGGTCAACTGGACAGTCACACTCTAAAACTCCCCGCCCTTTGCTATTGGGGGACTTGGTCGAACATATCTGAGTCCTTTGCGCCCTTGGCACATGTCCAGACGACAGCAAGTTGAAGTTGTGTCTGATGTTGGGACAAGAAGTCGTTTGCCGTGTTTTATGGAGCTGACCTGTCGGTTGCAATGTGCTCCAGACTCAGCGGTCGCCGTAGGTTTTCTGTCTATGGGACGAAGGGGGTAAAATTGAGACCCTTTCCTTATGGTTCCGTTTTGATTGACCGCTGGTCATCGTTCACCCAGATATCAATACCCACAGAAGGAAGAAGATCTACTGGAGTCAGTCATGTGCTCTACGAAATTGGGGATTCGCCTCTCACCATTAAAACGCCCATCATTTTGGCCACCAGCCATCGATTACCCTGGACCCGGTTCCAATACTTCAACAGCTCGCGCTGAGCACCTTGAACGTTGTCGACCACATCCTCGGTGTTGGCATCAATTCTCTGCAGCATCTCTCCCTGTTCTGAGACCATGGTCGCCAACTGTCCAAAAATGCCACCCAATTCGTTGATGGTTCGCTCTATTGCTTCGATGGCCTGACCTCTTTCTTGAATATAGGCATTGGCAGGTTGGGCTTCCTCCATGAGTAATAACTGATGATCAGACTGCGGACCATTCTTCATCAAGGTAGAGGTGGACGAGGGTTCAAGCGTCAGGAGGTCGTTTGTGGACATCTGCGGCGTTCTCTGTCGACTTGTGGCGCCCGAATATAGGGGAGACTCGGATCTTGAATCATCAAGATGTGGTTGAGAGCGAGCAGAGACCGAAGAGACGAAGTTCTCTGTTCTTGATCGTGAGGCCTGGATATTCTTTGTCCTCACCTCCAAGACATCTTTAAAATTCGCGGCGACATCGGTAATCTTGTTCTGGAGCATCAGAACGACATTCTTGTTGTGTTGACCTTCTTGGTCCGCAGACCGAGGCAGGGAGGCGGTTGGATGTTGAGATTGCGTGAATTGCTGCAGGGCAGATATCTGGGAGTTGAGAGCGGCCAGGTCTTGTTTTATAACATAAGTCAATTCCGAGATCTCGACAGGTCGATCGTCAAAGATGGCTTTCCTTCTGGCAAGTTGAGCAAGTCTCTCAAGTTTCCCCATAGTGGCACTGATGCCACGACCAATTTGTAAAGCATTACGGGCGAACTCAGAGCGGCCACCTTTTACAGGACCATTGGCTTCCTGCTTTTGAGCATCACTCAGGAGAGACTGCCGTTGCTGGCCCTTGGAGGCGTTCTGGCGCTTCTGCGCCTGGTTGAGGATGGTCCGGAATTCATTTGTCCGGTCTTGAATTGTCGTAGAAACCATTATAAGAATGGTCGGTGTGGATGGGGGCGTAGTAGATGTCCAAGAATTAAAAGCGCATTTTCCCGTGCCGGAGGAGGCACCAGTATTGATCAAAGAATTATGTAGTGCAGTATCTGTCGGGCGCGCAAAAGAATAGTTGGTTGTGCAACTAAACAGGCGCAGAAAAGCTGGTTGAGAGGTCTGAGAGGTTCGGATGAAGATGGCTACAAGTTGTCAATTCTAGAGGTGGTGGCCGTTGAGATGAGAGATGTTGAGGACAGCGACCACTTGAAGGCGCAGGCGCAGGCGTAGGCACATGGTGAACCCAAGGTTCCAAGTAAAGCCGGGCCCGGAATTAGCACGTGCTCGGTACACTTGCCACAATCGCCTCTACAGCTTGATAGTCTAGGCTTTAACAAGCTAGCTCTATGTATTGGCCACTCAGGGGCCAGGAGAGCTCTTTTAGCGTCGAATTGCAGTGTTAGGGCGACATTGACTCGGCACGGATAAGAAAGCCATTGAGCCACATCAGCCACATATCAGTATATGAAGTACATAAAGGATGATCTGTGCTAGATATCACCTCCCGACCCCTCTGAGATCACGCTCATCAATGTTACTAATGATCTACTTGGTACATGAGTCTATCTAGCAAGCTGGCACTTGGACTAATATCAAGGGAACTCACATTCTTCCTCTGTACGACCACAGCCACGGTTGTTGATTCCGAGGGACATTGTGGCGCAGTCAAATTAGGATGACGATCAGAGGGCCAGATTCCATCTCCAATTCGAGTTCCTGCTGGTTCGGTTTCCTCGAGCTGCCAGTGCCACTCTAATTGATTCGTGTCGCTCTCCGCTTCAGGGTCTTGGTCTGCATACGAGTCCTGCCACTCGTCATTAACCAACTAACTGCTCTGTACTCCGTCCTCGTCAGATGCGAATCTCGTTCAGGCCGTCTACCACTATCCGCATCTACTTTCTCTCCTACCATCATACACATCTTTCTCGTGCAGGGAGCCTTTCTGTGTCCTGTTCTGCCATCCCATCCCTTCTTCACGTTCTTGTTCATCTCTTTTACCCCAATCCTCCCGCGACTAGTAATAATACCAGTTACCATTGATTCTCCAATTGTTTCAGCCACGGTCTGCCTCATTGCTTTGCGCCATGTTCTGATTGCTCGCTCCCTTCACTTCACGATCTAATATCAAGCCATGGCTGCACCTGGCTCATATTCGGCGTACAAAACCAACGTCGGTCGCTCCGTCACCAAGAAATGGAAGGACGCGAACCAAATCAATTACGACGGCGATGACTGGGGTGATGACGACGACAATGGATATGACGACCATCCTGCTCCTCAGCCTGCCTCTGCCGACGATTTCCGACGTCCTGCTTGGGACCGTCAGTCAAATCGAAGCTTCACCAATCCTATCCCTGCATCGTATGCGCCCCCGCCTGCTCCCTCTCAAAACTACAACAGACCCTCTTTCGATCGAGGAGATGAACAGCGCAGTTTCTCTTCCGGTCCTGGTTTCAATTCAGCTTATCCCTCCTCCCAGCGCGATCCTTTTCCAGAACCTCAACATGATTATGATTTGCCTGCTTCAGCATATCGAGATCAACCTCCTTTGCGGCTGAATACCCAAGGTCCTCCACCATCCAATGCCTTCCGCCCGGGTTCAAGAGGCAGACAGTATCTTCCGAACAATGATTCTCATTCCCCACTGTCTGCCCCGGGCGTCTTCTCCCAGCAACAGCGAAGGTCTGGCTCAAGTAGCCGCCCTCCACCAAGTGAGATCTTTCAGCGATACGACAGCCCCAGAAGACCCGACAGCCGGGGCTCCAACGCCTCAGGCAGGCAATTTCCTCCTCGCAAGGCCAGTCTTGGTCCGCAGTCCCCCGACTTTACTCGCCCAGGAATTGATCCAGTCGCAACGTCGTCGCCTGCTGCAGCCAGTCCTCCCGCCGATGACAGACCAATCCCGGCCTTTGTCCGCCCTTCGGATATCTACAAAAAGATGGAGGAAATGGAGAAGGTGCGCAAGTCGCAAGATTCTTCCCGACCCAGTATCGATTCTACCTCTGTTCGCGTTCACCCCGAACCTCTCGATAGCAAGCCCATGGTCGTTGAATCCCAGGATCCTCCTGTCGAAGATTCGGATTCCGCCAGGCGGCTCAAGTCCACCCTAGATCCTGTCCCAGAGCGTAAGAGTGAATATGGCATGGATAATCTAACCATTCCTGCCTTGGTACAATTTGCACCTCCTGCTAATGATAGTCCAACCCAAGTCACCGAGGCGGGCGTCGAAAGACACCCCACAAATGCCTCTTCGGTCTACACTGATCGTCCCGATCCAGTTTCTGCTTCCACAATCTCGAGAAATCAGTCCATGCACGAAGGCATCCCTGAGGAACCCTCCTCCATAAGTCGACTCAGTTATGGTTTGCCTGCCATTGGCAGGATGTCCAGTTTCGGATTCGACCTTGGTTCGTCTGACCCATTGGGTCCCAGCTCTACAAGTCATATGCCACCAACTCCTGCTCAGCCTCCGCCTCCGCCACCGATCCCTATCAAGGACGAATCTACCGTGGAGCCACCTGCCGGTGGCTTGCGAACCCAACCACTACAACATCAGCCATCGCTGGGCTACAGGTCTATGGTTCAACAAGCTTTTGATGATAGCCAAAAAGATACCTCCTTCTCGCCCGTGTCAACAACCAATAGTATGTTCAGGTCCAACAGTGCCTCCACTTCAGACATTAGTCCCATAATCAGTCATAAACCACACATGCTGGCCACTGTCTCGGCCGCTCAAAGTACCACCCCTGCGATTCTTGAGGAACCATCCCAAACAGACTCTCGCAGAAATACTACCGAGACCCTCAGAGCTGACCCCAAGTCCATGCCATCAGCCCAGCAGGGCTCTATCCTCAGTCCAGACACCTACACTGCCCACTCAGCAAGTATTGATCCTCCCACACACTCGGGACCAGGTCCGGCCCCTGTAGCTACTGGTGCTCCAACTATACCTGCTGGGGAAGGAAACAACTCGAATGCGCCTCCAGCTACGAACTCGCCTATTGAGAAAGCACTGCCACCAGTTCCCGCTCCACCGGCTGAGACTGCCCCTGCCACGGAACGATCGACCTCTGAGGAGTGGAGAGAATGGCAAGCACAGCGGAAACAGTTCAACGCCCAGGCTGGTTTCCAGGATAGCGGACCAACCACTCCGCATCTTCCATCACCCATTCCGCGCACCGAAAGTCCACCCAAGGGCACAGTGAGAGATATAGCCGAAAAGCTCGAAACAAACTCTGGGCGGTCAAGCCCGAACAACATTAGCATGGCGCCTCCAGCACCGGGGCCTACCATCGCAGAGCCTACACGACCCGCACCACAGCTCCGAAACGAAAGCTTCCGCCCAGCACTTCCAGGAGGCTGGCAGTCATATGCTTCTACCGCCCCTTCGGAATCTCAGCAGGCAACGGAACCCTCAATTCGTCCGTCACCGCTAGGTGCACACCGATCAGAGACTACCGAAAGCATTCCCACAGCAAGGGCCCCAGTTCGTGACACAAATGATGGCGTCACTAAGACCGCTTTTGCAGCTGCAGCTACTGCTGGTACTGCCTTGGCGAGCGCTTTCATGGGACATCAAGAGCCAGAGCCCAAGTCGGTACCCAAATCACCTACTCGCTCTGAGATCTCCAGTGAAAACGAATGGGACGATTCTAGCTCGGAGGACGAGGGTGAACGACCGCCAGCGGGTATGGATCAAGCAAACCACGGCCGAGCTGTATCCCCGGACAATTTCAAGCCAGCTGGTCCGGAAACGTTGGCCGATCGATCTGTGATTGCGGCGACTATCCTTCCTTCCACCGCTTCTACAAGTGATAGTGGTCGGCCTCGATCGGATTCGATTGAATATCCTGCTCCATTGCGAACAAGCAGAATATTGGATTCAAGTCCAATGGCACGGCCTCCTATTCCCAACGTTGCCTTGTCTACAACCTCAACCAATGAAGACAATGACAGATTGCAGCATGACATCGTCAACAGCTTGACGCCGAAATCTTCTAATATTGATGGAGATACCTTTGGAGCTAGTTACACTGGCCCTAATTTGGCACAACCCAATGAGTCGACCTATGGGCCAACAGTGGTCGCTCAGACCCCTTCAAACATCAAGGCAGCCATCCAACCCAACCAAACTCCGCAAACCTCTCATTCTCTCGTCACCGTTGGCAGCCCGGTGCCGACTCCACCCTCTACACAAGCTGTTCCCCCAATGCAGAGACCACATTTGCAACAACGATTTTCGTGGGAAACCAGCAGTGATAAGACACCGTCAACTGCAACACCTAAACAACTGAGCCCTGCCGCTACTAATTCGCCCGATACTATTCGGGAGGCAATTCAGCCAATGTCGAGTTTGTCGGGTATAGCTGCCCATGCCGGACAATATGAGGGCGGCAACAGTCAACATACTGTGGATTCTGGACGACCATCAATACCAGGAGGGCTCAACCAGAATACCACACCCTTTTCCAGTGGATCCCAGCAAGCCTTCTCACAAAATGAGCCTGTCAGTAGCCAGCCACCACTTAACGTGAATCTACCAGCAACAACACCTGGACAGATACAACCTCAGTCGGCAGGACTCCAGCATTCTGCCAGTCAGTATCAACCAGGACCATCAAATCAGTTACCCCGATCAGATACAGTACAAGCACAATTCTATGCTGGCCAATCTTCTACTTTTCAACAGCCATCTCATGAACGTGAGACAACACCAACTCCAACAACCACTGACATTACTCCTTTCTCTGGTATCAACAATACTGGGAACACTGAATTTGCTCCGTCGCAATTGCAACACCAATACCAGCAAGCCACATCCGAACCAATGTCGTTTCAGTCCATTCTAGCACTTGGCACTCCTCATGAAAGGATTCTGGCATTTAATCAGAGCAGACAAGCTTACGCCGAATCTGATGGGCAGTTAGAAGGATGGCTTTCATCTCTGAATACATCTGAACATTCGGATGTTTTCACGCTCAACGGACGTGTTTCACATGATACCACGGAGTCGAATTCCGCTCACAAGCCATCTCCGCGACGCACTTTGACCGAGTCGGTGGGCTCTAGACACATACAAGAAGATGGCAAGAAGCTGATGGCGAAGGCGGGAAGATTTGGTGGCAAGGCCGGAATCGCGGCGAAGGGGTTGTTCGCAAAAGGAAAGGAAAAAATCCGAACTGCAAGCTCTGGCGAAAAGGTAGCTTATTGATCTTTCCTTTCTTGTTTGCTCCTGTATTAGTTTCTTTCTGGTGTCAAGCACCGAGGAAGGCTACACGCGGTCCAGTCGCTCGAGGTTTTCAGTATCTTCACGCGATTGATGGCATACCACTCGCGCGTTTTCAATTTCCAAATAGTACTCGAATTTAATCTTGTCTTCGCCATCCTGTCTGCCTTCTACAACGCTCATATGTTGACTTGTTCTCTCTAGGGACGACGAAAGTCGACGGAACTTCCCTCGACGGAATCCAACGAAGTTCTCCCAGATCCACAATCTCAGCCACAGCCACGAGATCCCACATTCCTCGAAGGCCCACCACAAATTCCATTCACACTCTCCCCTGCCAGCCCTCTTGAATCGTCGGATTGGTTCGCAAATTCTAGCCTTAATCGCTCTAAGCAAGCAGATAATACAGGCTCATCAATTGCGTCGTTCACCCAAGATCAATCGAGTCAAGGGCAAGAGAAACATCAAGGTATATCTGGTGACACAAACAAGTCCAGTGTGAATCCGACGAGCCCTGCTATTTCTGCCCTTGCCGACGATGATCACGAAGACGAAGACGGGCTCCCAAGTCGATCTGTTAGTCAATTGACTCGACCAACAGCTGATGACTCACCAGTAGGCTCACCTCAGAGGATTACAGCAGACAGAGACGTGGTAAGGGAGGACGTTCCTCCTCATGTGCAACAGCAGCTCCAGGCGACAGACACTTCTGCAGTGACAAATTTGAACGCGCCCGGGCTCTTACTAGGACAAGCCCATGGCTCCGATGTTCATTCAAGTGACCGCAGCCTTCAGGTACCCGATGGTCGAAGACGATCAATCATTTCCGATGTCTCCAGTGCAAGTCCTAGTCCTGGCCCGGACTCTAGCAAACAGATCAGAAGAAGTGTGTCTCCTGCGGATGATGTTTTACAGTCACAAAATGCTGTAGAAGAGGAAATCCAAAGTCAACCAAGAGAGGTCCGTACGAGTGAAGACAATCAACTTCCAGGTTATGATCAGGTTGTGCCAGAACCTGTAGATTTACCACCTGAGAAATCTGCCCTCGATGACCCACCTCCTCGGATAGATGACCCTTATCAGCGGGCAGAAGCGGAATCAAATCCAACAGTATCGCCCCCAGGAACAGTTCAACAACCCGAGGCTGTACACCCAGGCAATGAGTACCGTGGCTCTCAAGATGAACGTTTGTTGCCGTCAGATGGTGGAGTTGCCGTTGATTCAGCACGCCATTTGCAAGAACCAGTGACTGAGGAGCCGAGAAAAGCATCACCTCCACCACTCAGTCCTGTGAGTCAAGCCCTCAGCAAGGAGATGTCCCAAGTCAGTGTCGACGAAGTTTTTGACCAAGCGAATGCAATTGGACAGCGACAATCAAGATCATACTCGAGACCTTTCAGCGCAGATCCAAATGTTCGAAATCATCCTGCTTTCAAGACATCAGAACCTGAACAGCCCAGTATTGATAGAGCACAAATGTATTCCAGCGAGAGCCCACTACCTAGTGCTCGCCGTCATCTTGAGGAACCGGATCGCTCCCAACAACAAAGGGGTTCTCAGCAGTATGAGGCTACTCCATCTGCAAGAGAGCAACCTCCTTCTGATGGGGCTTACCGCATACCTGGCCCATATATTCAGAACTACAGGTCCCCAAAACAGATCACTACTCCTCGTATTGGACGTAGTGAGACACAGGTCGAGGCCAGTGGACAACCCTTGCCAAGCGCCCTTAGGTCTCAGCAGCAGCAGCAACATCAACAATATCAGCAGCAGCAGCAACCCCAAAATTCTGGGCACTTCCAGCAGACGCAGCAAATACAGCAAGACAGCCAATATCAGCAGTACCACCATCAACAGCAGCAGTACCAATCTCAACCTCAAGCCCAATATGTGGTGGCATCACAACCACACTTGGATCAGGATTCAGGAAGACCTCCTTTCATTCCTGGGCAACAACACGCACAACAGAAGCAGCAAAGGTACGGAGGAACCCCAGCAGAACACGGTAGACAGCAGTCTTATGGAGGTAGCATAACTTCCAATCGAATATCGCAGCAACCAGATCAATATACTCAACGGCAACAACAGCCAATGGCTCCGCCTCCAGCCCCGAGCTCTGCAACTCCAGTCGTACCTCCTCTTGCTGGACGCAAGAAGAGCACTTTTGGGAGCTTCTTTGGGGGCGGATCCAAAACAAAATTGAAAAAACAGGAACGTGCACCCGCACCTGCATCTGCACCTGCACCTGCACCAGTGCCACAAAATCAAGATGGCCAGCAGAGAGACAAGCGTGCGAGCATATTCAGACGTAACAGCCGGCATGACAGTATCTCCTCCCAACAGAGCGGTCAGTACCATAACCATGATCAAGTCGGTCAGCTTCCTCCATCGAACATGCCTCCTCACTCAGCTCGGAGACAGTCCAGAGACCTGATGAGGACTTCTAGTAATGAAGGCAGAGATCAGCCAGTTGAGAAGAAAAAGAGATTTTCTGGCTTTGGGAATAAGCTCTTCAAAAGTGGAAGTACAGCTAAGGCTCCAACCGCAGCTCATTCAGCTCCACAACAGCCTGGTATTGCTACTGCACAACCCTACCCAGATCAATATACTGCGCAGAACTACTTGTCCCCGCAAAATTCTTACGGGCAATACTCTGGAGATGCTTGGACTACACAACAGCAGCAGCCACCCCCACAGGTTTCCAGAGGCTTTTCCGAGTCTTCACAGCAGCAGCAAATCCAGCCCGCATACCCACGTGGTCCACAACGAGAATTCTCACAACCTCAAAGAGCATATACCTATGGTTCACAACAAGGGCGACCAGAATCTCAAGAATACTCAACTGTTCCTGCCAACCAGCACGACAATCAATATCCAACCACGACCTCCCCATTCCAGTACACTTCTGGGACGCCAGGTAGTGGTCCCGGATCCATGCATCAACCTCAATCTGCCGTTTCTCCACAATTAGGCAATGCTTTCCCATACATCAACCCTGACCAACGACGTCCCTCTGATCTACGAATTGACACAAACACACCTAATCGTTCCTCGCAGAATGTCCCTGCCACTGCTCCTGCACAAGTATACCCAAATCGTGGTGCCTCATTCTCTCCTCCACCCCCGGGTAGTGCAGCGCCCCGACCATACGGGAGCAGCAGCCCAGGGTTCACAACCACTACAGCACCCGCTTCAGCGGCAGCGATCCCCGCTGTCGGTGTCGGGCGTGATCACGTCATCGACCTGCACAAGCGTTCTCGTTCACCCAAACTCGGCCGCAAGAACTCATCCGAAGACTTCGATGCGCGACGACGCTCAGAACAACAAAATGGACTGGCCGCCACTGGACTGGGCACCTTCATTTCCAAACGAATCAGTCCCGTTGGTGGTGTCCCAAGGCCAGACTCCGACCAGGAGCGCCCATTCGCCATCGGTCTACCTGGTCTCGACGAGGACGCCGATCGAAACAAAACCCGAGTTCGCACCATGAGCCCCGTGCCACCATCCACACAAACCCAACATTCGCATCACCACACATCTTCAGACCTCGCCGCCGGCCGCAGCGGCACACCTGTGAGTCTCGACGGCTCCGCAACAGGCGCTTCCCATGCTGCCGTCGGGACAGGCACCTATTCGCGCGCCACCCACGCCGGCGCCACCGACGGCCTCGTCAGTCGCTCCGGCACGAGCGCAGCGCAGCACCAGGCACAGCAGGGCAAGGCGATCGCACGCGACAAATCCGTCGGCGGCGCAGCCGTTGAATTACCTGGCTCCAAACCCGACGGTTACGAGAGCGAGGAGGAGGTCCTCATGAGCGCCACCGCGTACCCGGGTCAGGAGTGGATGCCGACTTTCGTGGGTGATGGGAGGTGGGACGATTGAGCCCTGTTTTGGTTAATATATCTATCTTTTAGTTACTTTTTCGATGCACTCACACACATACCAAAATTCGGCGTTCGAGCGTTTCTTTGCCTGTTAAGCCTCATATGTTTAGTACCACTTTTTCTCGTTTTCTGGATTCTTCTACTTTGGGTATCTGGGCAGAAGCATGCAAGCGAGCGAAGCAGGCAAGCGATTATTGGTCTCTTTTTTAGATACACATGGTTTTGAAATCTCTTTTGCGGAAGATATGAGATCGGTGATGGCTGTATACTACTACCACACGAGGCGTGAACTGGTAATATGGCTCATGTTGCATGTGCAGTGCAGTGCACAGGGATGACCTGTTCTTTGTCTTTGTTTTTGTTTTTTTTGGATACCCATCATAGTGGAGCGAAAGAAACAATCAAGAGAGTGTCCACATCATATATTTATCTCTCACCGTAGTTATCGTAATAATCTCTTGAATTATGGCGCTATGCTGTTGATATGAATGAAACGGCTAGGGTAACCAACTAGTTGCGAAAATATGGTCGTCAATTTGGTCGAAGAAGGAAAGGATCAATATAAGAATAAAATGTCAAAACGGTAGGCAGCTCCATTCGCTGGTATTGTTCCTCAAACGAAAGGGCCTGCCCTCCACCCCCGTTCTCCTCGATATGATGTACGAGTAGAACCAACCTGCACATGGATGTCCATTCCGGCGCTTTAGTTGCAGACACCTGAACTGCGGCAAGAAATGAGAAGGTAAAATGAAGCTCTCCACCGAAAATGGACAACCGAACCAACTACACCGAGCATTCAACATGCGTGTGCGTCGCGGCCCACCGGTTCCGCGGCACCATGAAGCGCCGCTGCATGCGCGCCGCACGCCGTGACGACTCGGAGCTGATGTCGTCGACCGCGCCTAGAACCCCGACCATGAAGCGCGCGACTTGCTTGGACAGCGTGTCCATGAATGCTGCTGCCGACGCCGATGCTGATGGTCGGCGTGTGGGCGGAGCATACGGGAAGATCTCGACGATGGGCTGTTGTGTTGTCGTTCCTGGGATGATGAATGATGTGTCGATGCGGAGAGCTGGTCGGGTTGGTGAGTGTGAGATTGAGTGTGATTCCGGGGATGGGTACTGGTGTGGGTGCGGCTGTATGTAAGTCATGGTGGTTTGGTCGAGATCGGGGTCTTTGTGAGACTTCAGGTTTGTGAAGATGGATGCACTAATCTGCGCGCAGAAGATGATGCCAAAGAGTCCGCTGGTGATGGCTATGAGGCGTAGGGTGAGACTCAGCATCGTGTACGTACGATATGTATTTATCTTGTGCCGTGCTGTGGGAGGTCTAGAACGGAAGGTTCAATGTGGCTTGGAGTGAGGAAGCAAAGACGCTCTCTCTCTTTCGAGCGCCGCACGAGCAATAATTGGCAATGCACGGGAATATAAGATAGAATTCAATATCTCAAATCGGTTGCAGAGAGGTTTTGTGCCAGTGGTTAGTCCGTGAGAGCTATATAGTGTACTTACGAGGGTTCTATATGCTACCCCCTGAATGTGAATCCACGGCTCTCTAAACTCGTTTCTACACCACACTCGCCTTTCTATTCCCCATTGCGACAGCAAACCAGGCAGCCAAGGAGGGAGTGGTTCGTGGCATTTCTTTCATCTTGGCCACATGACGGAGGTGGTCAATTGGATATGACCCGATAATGAGCTGTGCGGGTGCTGCTAGTAGTAATCTGCTTGGTCAAAGCGTCTTTTGGATTTACCCATCAGGCTCGGGCCTCCTTCCTTCGCTATCTCGCGAGGCTGGGACCGAGCCGCAATATTGGTAACGATCGTCAAAGATTGATTGAGCGTGGAGGGAATAGAATTGCTGTTCGATGAGTTTTCCAGTATATTGCAGGGAGCTCTGGTCGTCTATGGCGAGGGGATAAGTGCATACCTGATGAAAGCGCGAGGCGGAGGTGGACAATGGATTGCCGAGGCTGAAGAAATATCTCGTGGCTGGGAATTTCGTCTGTGCCCTTTGAACTGCACCTGATGACCACCATCTCCAATATCAGCACATGCTCACTGCAGCGGCTCTGGAAACCTTCAATCTTCGAATCTTGTCTGCCGTTGCCTTGATGTGGTTTTCTTTGGCGGACAGCATCAAGCTCCACAGATTTCTCAACGCACAGATACGGCTCTCCAGTCACCGTTGAAGTCAGTGGCTGCCTCAAACACGCTCAAATGATGTCAAGTTACTCGGAAGAACATGTGAACAAGCGAGTAAGAGGTGACAAGCATCGTCACAGTGATATCTGATGAGAAGATGGCTGGGATTCTGGGACCGAAGACTTTAGTCGGCTTTTCTCCATCCTCTTCAGATCGTGGCAGCACTAATACACGTGTGTCGTAGTTGCACTGAGCAGTGTGTCCTGGAATTGAAGAGATCGTCGAATCCTTGTCCATGTGGAACCGCAATTGTAGCTCCTAGCACACCGTAGTCATTTTGTGCCAACATGGTTCGCCTTGAGGGGCGCAGCCTTGCCCACACTGATGCTCCCATTGGTCAAAGTTGATGACCACGGGGCTCGGTTACGGGTTTTCTAATTTTCCGGGTCGCGCACAGAGGGTGTTCACTTCCGATGAACACCATCATCATTCTTTATCACTCATCAAATTTGATAATTCAAGATAGCAGTCTTTACTACGCCTTCCGACGGGTAACCGACAGACTTTATATCATCGGTTCGCAGGCGGAGCACTAAGTACAAGGACAAATCGTGGTTTTGGAAAATATGCGGTGACGTTCTGACACTTTGATTATTTTTTAATCGTCATTGAGAGACTGCCTCAGAGATGGACGGACAAAGTCAGGTCGGTATATTCATTTCGCGGCCCCACGCCTAAGAACTGTGACCGACGAACTATGAACTGTCTCCAGAGTAGGTAAAGTGCCACATTCTAATTCCGGATAGAGCCCTAGGACTTGGGACAGGAAGGGTTGATCTACGTTCCTGTATCTTACCTGAAAAATAATAATCGAAGCCATGGCGAGCAACTCAAAATCTGCAGTGACAGAGTCCACAACTCGGCTTGCTGAAAAGGACGATCCAGTCCTCTCCAACCTTCAAGACTTCATCGTCAGACATGGTATTTATCTGTCACCATCACTTTCCTTCCGCCGCGTTCCCGGCCGCGGCGTAGGAGTCTACAGTACCACACGCCTTCGTAAAGGAGAGCGCATCATGGACGTTCCCAGCTCTTTATTACTCACTACAGCATCTATCCCATTCAATTTTGCTCCCAAAGAACTCAGGTCGAAGCTTCCGGTCCACGTTCTCTTAGCGGTATATCTTGCCTTTGGCGTGTCGGAGCAAAAGAAGCAGGAGCTACAGCCATGGATGGCGACGTGGCCCAAAGTGCAGGATTTCACAGAGTCCATGTGTCTTTTCTGGCCAGAGAAGACGAGAAAACCCGTCACTGTACGGACCGGTAGAGGAGACGATCATGGTCATGGGGATATTTCAGCTGGTCAAAAGAACAAGACTGCGACAACCTCTGATCAACACATCACGTTCCGCCCAGTGCCGCAGACCTTGACTGGATCATGGCTAGGAGCAAGGGAAGATGGACAGATTCTGGAGTCTGAAAAGCCAAAATTTCTCGACTTACAGCTCGCCAAATTTCAGTCGCATATCGCATTGGCCAATCAGCATTTTCCAACGCATCTCACGAAATCGGCCTTGTCGTCCAAGGCCTCTCAGCCCCTTACCACATTCACGCATGCCTGGGCGAACGTCAACTCTCGATGCTTCTATCATGTGGCCCCAGGTAAGCGAGCACCAAAGGACAGCAATGAAGCAATGGCCATGGTACCTGCGATGGACCTTTTCAACCACAGTCACATGGCGAACTGTAACACGTCGTACGACCGCAAGGGATTTCACGTCGTGACGGAGCAAGCCATTTCGGCGGGTCAAGAGCTGCTGCTCAGCTATGGTGCTCACAGTAACGACACGCTATGGACGGAATATGGGTTCATCATGGATCCCAATGGAGATGACAGTATCCGCGGCTTTGATGAAGTCGTGCTTGATGGACTGACGCCGATCGAGATGGATGTCTTGGAAGGCGTATCATATCTGGGCAACTACACATTGACAGCGCAAGGGCTCTGCTGGCGTACTGAAGTCGTGTCGTGGTTGGGCATCCTATCGAGAAATCAGTGGTTCCGATTCATTGAGGGAACACTTACTCCCGAGACGATTGACCGACTACATCTGCAGAAAACCGGGAACGGGAGTGTCAAGAGGAGAAAAGGAAATAACACGACTGTTGCGGCTCAGGCCGATGTTGATGTCGTGCTGCCAAGTGCCAGAGCTCGCGACAAGCAAATTCACTGGCTGACTCAACTGAAGACACAGGCGGAGCTCAGCGTGCAGGGGTTGACGCTTCTTGACCAGATGGCCTCTGAGAAAGATTTGCTTGACATTTTTGCGGACGTGGAGGAATTATTCAAGGCGCAGGGATTCGAGAAAGCCCAGGTGGACGATATGATGCGATTGCAGGCAAAACAACGGCGTGGCATGTGTTTGCAGAGATGGAGTCAGATACTTGATACCTGTAGGTTGGGGATAGAGAAACTGAGGAAAGAGAACACAGACAAGTAGCCTACTAAGTGATGGATCATTCACGGAAAACACATGAGGCATTGATACTGAGCACTGTTGCAGAACTGATTGATTAATCTCTGTGAGACGAGTAAGAAACTGCTGGCAGCGAGCATCACCTATTTGGTGTTGCTGAACAACGGCTCTGGTATTGATTCTGCTCCAGCACCGAGATTGGTATGGACAATTTCAGCCCCATGACCCCCTGCGAGCCATTCCTACAGTCTCAGGGATGTGACTTGAAGTTGGACGATTAGAAGATCGAATCTGCTGTACATCACTGGGGATTGTTTCCATAGATATCGCCCTTGCAGATGCCCTCTTTTCGATCACTCCATGAGAACAATCCGGTGCAGACAACGATTGGCGGGTTGCATTGCTCTTGAACATCTTGACATAATCGCAACCTCGGAGCAGGACAGGGTCACTAAGAAGATGTGTTCGAGCGAATTCATGCTGGGGTAAGTGGGCACCTGAATCATGAGTGACAGGAATCGCCGAATAGAAGCTCACCTCAAATCGAGTGTCATTGTGGGCGTGTAGAACTCATGAAGCCTGAGCCCTTAGTCTTCACCTGTAGAAAGGATACGAGATTGCCACTCTAATGGACTGGACGCTTTCGTCAGTGCCAGAGGGGTCATATGATAGCTCATTCAACCCTTCGAAGAACCGGCTTTTGACTTTTTTGCCTTCTTGGCCTTTTTAGCCTTCTTCGCGGTTGTGGCTGCTTGGGTATTGGCAGCAGCTGCAGCGCTTGCTTTTCTCGCTTTCTTGCGTTGCTTTTTGCTCGTTGCCTTCTGGTTCGTTAAAATCTGGGGACCAGTCGCAGATGAGTTCTTCTGCTTCTTGCTGTTCTTTCCTTGCCTTGTCATGGGAGGATCGGGCACTGTCTGATCGGGTGAGTCCTCTGAGTCTTGAGACGTAGGGTGTAAGTCAGGTTGCGCCACAGCTGAATCAGAAGTATTGGTCAGATCCATTCCACTGCCCAAGACCCCATCATCATTACTATCCGAAGACAGTGATGAAGACGCGACCTCTTCCGAGACTTCTCCTTCTTCGACATCCATCGCGATCAGCTGGGCCGCCTCCTGCGCCGCAGCAAGCGCTGTTGCTTCGGCTTCAGCATCATCTTGGGTATTGGCTTCGGCCTTCTCTTTCATGACTGCTTCGAGCTCCTTGAGCTTTCTCTTTGCCAACAACTTTTGACGTGCCTCTCGCTCTCTACGCTCGAGGTCGTATTGGTCATTGCCAGCCTACCATGTTCAGCTCAAGAAAAAGGACTCATGCATAGCCGCCCTGACTTACCAGGGCATGTTTGATAAATCTTCCTGCAGCATTCTTATCCAGCACGACAGCTGGTTGGGACTTGTTTGGCTCAGCCTCGATCGCTTTGATCTTTTCAAAGTACTGCTTGACTCTGGTTAACTCGCGGAAGACTGGGTGCTCTTTGGCTTGGACGCCATGTAATCTGAGGTATGCTAAAGAAACAAGTCAATAGTTGTGAAAGGGATGAATCGCACATGGCGACTGACAGAAGATGAGGGATTCGATGGCGTAGACTAGGAGAACGTTAAGTTTGGCACGATCGAGGAGCGGTAATTTCTTGGTGGTGGTAATCAGAGAATTGGCCGAGAGTGGTTCAAGTGTTTCCTCTAAATCCTCCAAATCTTCTGCAAGCTGATCCGCAAGGATCAAGACCGATTTGGTATCCATATCACGGCACGAGTGTGATGACTTAAGAAGTGGTGGTTGATCTCTATACGGAACGGATCTAAAGATCGAAGATCGCAATAATTTCTGGAGCCTGATCACGTGATTACGCGACGTGAAAATCACGTGTGACGTGGAAGCATTTCTCGCCGCACCTGCCATCTTGGTACAGAGTTCGGTATTTCATCGTCATGCAGTGCCAGTATTGCTTCAAGCATACAAATTTAATGCAAACACGTCCACAGTCATAGATACATTACGATCTATTGCTCTTGCTCTCTGATCTATGGATCAACTAGGTTTGATCTTGCCACTGTAAAATTTCATCTGATGAACCATAGATCTGGATCAACGACTCGACTGTAACCCTACCTCCGACAGAAACAGTGGCCCGGTAACGGCCTGAGTCCCATCCCAGATCTTCCGCGAACCTGTGTTTCGAACTGTGGCACAAGCTTGTCCCTCCAGAGAAGAAAGTTTCCCTCTGAATTCTACCATATACCACCTTCAAACTGTCTCAGCGGACCCTTCTTGGGCCGCTCTCCCGAGCCGCGGGCACATGGTTCAAAATACACGCAACTGGCCGCTTGCCAGAAAGGAACCCGTTAGCAGCCCTTAGGACCCGAGCGAACTTCTCGACCATGACAGAACTGGGATCATGGTGGTCAGGATCACCCCCAGCTGAAAACTTGCGCAACGACCATAAAAAATATGATTCTATACCTCTGGAGCAAGATAAAATACAACAGTCAAACGAAGATGAGCTCCTTACAAGGAGGATCCATATCCTGGGATTGGGTAGTATTGGCACTTTGGTCGCCCACTCGCTCAAATGTCTACCAAATCCACCACCGGTCTCTTTGATAATCCATCGCCCTACCATGTACGAATCGTTTAAGAAGCAAGCTCGAATTGTTCGCTTGGTCAATGTACAAAGTGATGTCAATGACGAACAGACTGGCTACGATGTTGACATCCTTGAGAATAATGATGGCGACCGACCTTATTGGAAGTTCATCCCTGATACTCCTAATGGTCCTGAAGCTGAGCATACCAGTCCAGTCGAGCCGCTCGAGAAACTGCCTTCGGACGAGAACTACATTTACAATTTGATAGTCACTGTCAAGGCTCCTGCTACGGTGGCTGCTCTACGATCTATCAAGCATAGAGTCGATGCAAACTCGACGATTTGTTTCATGCAAAACGGCTTGGGACAGATCGACGATGTCAATCGTGAGGTATTTACGGACCCAGAGACACGCCCTACCTATATGCTCGGAATTGTGTCTCATGGCGCTTACATGTCTGGTCGATTTTCTGTTGTCCATGCTGGATTCGGCTCCATAGCCTTGGGAATTCACCGCGATACAGATCGATTTCCACTACCCTCGAAATTAGTAAAATCTTCGCATTCTGATCTTTCCGAAGAAGTGAGAAAGCTGCATTACCCTACAGACGAAGACCTTTTTTCCAATGTTTCTTCACGATTCCTCTTACGCACCTTGACTAGATCGCCCGTACTATCATGTGCGGCCTTTCCCTACCTTGATCTTCTCCAACTGCAGCTGGAGAAATTGTCAGCCAATGCTATCTTGAATCCTGTCACCGCATTGCTCGATGTCCCCAATGGTGCATTACTACACAATGCTTCATTATCCATGGTGCAAAGAATGTTGCTTGCGGAGATATCATTGGTTATTCGAGGTTTACCGGAACTGGAGGGGATCCCTAATGTTGTCCAGCGTTTCTCCGCTCAAAGACTAGAGCATTACGTCCTGGGCGTCATATCCCGAACAGCACAAAACTCAAGCAGCATGCGGGAAGATTTCAGACGTGCCAAGCAGACCGAAATTGATTTTATCAATGGATACATCATTCGGCGAGGTGATGAGCAAGGAATTAAATGTGCTATCAACTTCCTCTTGATGCATCTCGTCAAGGGGAAAACTTTGATCCAACAGGGTGCCGAGGGCGCCAGTCTGCCATATGGCGTCAGACGCATGGAGAGCGAGATCGATGCTCGTGGGTTGGTAACGCTAGATGACCAGAGTACTCCAGCCAAGGGCAGAATTTCGTGAATGACGTTTGTTTGTTGCGATGGTCCATGTGCTCTAATACCGGGTCTCAGCACAGCAATAATGTGACGAGTCTGGGCACCACAACAATAAGTGACGGATGACAGCATGTCACAATTTATCAATGGCACATTTACCAATGATCAAAAAATTGATTATTTCGGAAACTCCGTCTTGCAATAGTCGGTCATCTATTTGATTCAAGCGCCCTTAACTTGAGTGAAGTGTGGCTTTTTCTGATGTCTGATTATCGCATGTCAATATTGGAGGGTTTGATACTCGTTCAATGCCTGTCAGCACTTTCAGATGCATGGCTGATGCATCAAATTCCCACGTGGAAGCAGCCTAGACTCAGATGGTATTCCTCTTACCAAGCCTAGTGATTTCTGGTAGGGCTGGTACCTGCGTCTGACTGTACTCAATTTGATTCTCAATCACCCAGTGAAAGGCCTCAAACAATAGTCAGAATGCCTGATTGCTGACTCCTGATTCCTTTGAGCTTCACGAACATCGGGAAATGAGGGTACTGGATGGCCTTGAGACCAAGTGGAGATATTCCTTATGGGGTACCAGTCTATACTCATGGACCATTACGAGATGGAAAGGAGCCTCTCTGTACGGATAGGAAGTGATCCGGAAAAGTGGCAATAGCAGTTCCAAGAGGTTCCAAAAATACTCAGAGTCTACACCACTTCCAGAGGCACACCAACCGCGGGGAGACCCAGATAGACGAGAAACATGGTCCGGTATTAGTTAGGAGCATGCACAAGTGCCAAAATCTCGAGCACCTCGACCACGGGAACTTGAGCATCATCCCTTGGCGAAAATTGGCAGCAGAGTGATGATGCGTGCTTGTTGAGTTCCGCCTAGCTGGTTATTCTCAGATGCACAGCGGGTGCAACTTGGACTGGGCTAGTAAAGCGTCCCAAATCCCGGGCGAGCCAGTCTCAATCGGGCCGGGGTGTGGCTGGGGTGGGGTTGCTGAACTGTCCAATCTAGTGTGGTGCTCCGTGCCCTTTTCCCACCAGTGGCCAATCTTTCTTGTGGGCGGAAGAGTCTAGGAGCACCAGAATTTCCAAACCTGAAGTTTGGATGACCATGGCTCGTGAGCACAACAAATCTGGAGGTGACTAGCACTAGCTGCTTACAACTAGACAACCCTGGAAAAGGTACGAGGTCGCTAGCTACCAGTACCAGGATTTGGCTATATAACTGGAGGACTTCCCCCAGCATATCATGCCATATCCAGTCCAACAGAACACCACCATTCGCTCACCAAGCTTCATTCGCTACTTCTAACCCCAACTTACTACAATCGTTTCAATACTTCTCACGAAGACCCCAATAATCAATCAACATGCGCTCATTCATCACCATCGCTACCACCGCTGCTCTCGTCAGCTCTGCTGCCGCTGCCCCATGGGGACCCGGTGGTGGTTGGTGGGGACGACCAGGCCCAGGCAAATGTCTGACTGCAGACTCAGCTCAGTACCTCGTTGATGGCTTCGAGGGTCTCATCTCAGCCTACTCTGATGCCAACGCCGACAAACTTCTATCTGATGATTTCTCCGACTACTCCGACAGCATCAACTCTCTGGCCGGTATCCCAGTTGGTCAAGTCACATTCCCCAACAAGGCTGCATTCAAGGCCGGTCAAGGTGCTCAGCCAGCTGTGCCCATCGAGACTCTTGCCATTGAGTCCTTCACCTGCGACACCATCGCTCTCCGCTGGTTGGTCGGACTTCAACCTGAGCCAGTCAAGGGTATCACCATCTTGAAGGCATCCAACGCCCAGGGCCAAAAGGATACCTGGCAAATCAAGACCATCTTCACCGAGTTCAACAGCATCTCGTGGCTGAAGGATATCGGTGGCACCGTCACTCTTCCCGGTCGCCCAGCATAAGCAACTTGTCAAGGATTACGTTTCGAATGCATGCACATGGGACATTAGCGCGGGCGTCAAAAGTTGAGATATTTTGGATTATAAACTCTACTTCACGAGGAGGAACTTTGACGTGACTTGATCATATCAGCTGATGCCGTTGAAAGATCACAGTTTTTGTGCCACATTATTCTTTATTGTTGAAGATTCAATCCCAGCATAATAATACCTATATTGTTCAAAACTATATTACTTCTAGTGCGTGAGTGCTCGTTATTGTTCTTTGCTTTTGTGATATGATTTCAACAAGGTATCCCAACCTCGTACGGGACAGACTGACGCAATTGAGCTTGACAGGAATAAAGGGCCTGCTTGAGGCTTCGGGGCTTGGAGGCGCCGTCCAGCCCCCTCGGCCTGCCGCTTCAGGGCGTCAAGGTTGCTTCCCGAGGTGCATTCAAAGGCTTCAAGCCTCACAAGCCATTACCGCATGGGAACAAGGTTGCCTTCTCAATTATTCAGGGAGGAGGATCACACACCAAATGTTTCGCCGACATTCAGCATGCCCAGGGGAAACCACAGATATTGCTTTCGTAGCAAATTTGGGCACTATTGACCTTGTGGATAGAAACTTGCGGCTCTAATGAATCACTCGTAGCTAAACACAAACTATTCTCTACTAAGCACAGACAAAGAACCACCCGATGAGCCAATCTTGAACTCGATTCGTGCCTTTACAGATGGAATACGAGCCCAGCTGGAAACTCCAGCCAGGAAAAACCCGGCCTTCTCGAAAGTCAAGTTAAGCCCCCGGACACTCGTAACTAACCACATTCTAGCCCCCGGTCTCTGTCGCTTGCCACGACCTGGAAATTGCGAGGCCTGAGGTTGAACGATCTCCCATCTCCTCGTTCGTTTCGAGTCACCCGGGCTTCTGTTTGAGGTCAATGCGCCTGTGGGGAAATTTGGGACCAACTTCAACTTTTGATATGCTCGGGTCGTGATCCCCTTGACTCCAAGTTGGTTAATAATGGCAAGCTGGGCGTCCCTTTCTCCTATTTGTAAGTTGACCACGCATCCGAACGCTGAATCTCGCCTGTAGCTGTGGGGACGAGGTTGCTTGCAGACTTGGGGAGGTGTGAACGAGATCACGCGGGAGAAGCTCCCCAGCACCGCGTGGAGCCGCCCTACGAAATCGCTGACCGAGTTCTATTTAGGCAATCAATTCGACTATGATGCTCTGGGAAAGCTAACAACTATAGCTGGCCCGGGTAAGTGCTCTCGTGCCTTGGCCCTCAGCTTGAGAAGTGTACCTCGTAGCGTAGTGCAGTGTATGATCACTCGCCCAATCCCCAGGGCAAATTGCCAGTGAACCCCTGGCCTATCATTTCTGATCAGCGTGACCACCGACCTCGTGCTAGAGAGACCGTTCGTTGCGACCTTTCAACCTCAACCAAATTTCGCCAAAAGGTCGATGAATGGGACGATGCACACCTCGGGACTGCTGGGAAGACTGAGCTTGCCCGAATTTTAGACTCTGGGCCTGGACTACGGACTTCAAGTGACAGACATGTGAAGACAAGGCGCGGACATGAAATCATTGGCCGCATCTTCACCAATTGAAACAGGTGATGAGGCTGCAGTCTCAAGAGTTCCAAGACTTCGAATTGGAGGCGGAGCTGAACGTTGTCTTTCTTCAGGGTCTCAGGCATTTGCTTGTTCAGGTCAGTGCGCCCGCCACCGGTTAAAGGTGCCTGCCCCATGCCAAAAGTGGCCAAAACATCGGTGGAGCCGGGAGGAGCCACTATAACTAACCAGGGCAGGAGGGCCCTAAGAAATGGATCCCGAGCACCTAAGGAACGTTGGGTCGATTTGAACCCAGATTCCAGCACTCCAGCAAACCCAAAAAGTCTGGTGCCTCGCGCCCAGCCATCACTTCCATTAGCCTTTCAAGCTGCGGAAAGTCTAAAGAAGAAGGGAAAAAAAAGTCCCCAGCCGTGCCAGTGACTTGGCCTCGATCGATCTCAACACGAGGCGGACAATCGTGTAGGTCTACTCGCATGTTTTGTTGAAGGGACATGTGCACTGGTGGGTGACTGATTGACAAGGCCGGCAGGTTGCGAACTTGTGAGAGAGTGAAAAAGGCTCCCCCTGGCGATCGATCGCGGGTGAGTTGGTGAAACAGCAACCGTAACAGCCGTGATCTGGTTAAGATTAACGGCCTGCTCCAGTGCTCATCGCCATCGATTTCCTTTGCTGGACCTGGCAGGCTGGCACTGGCAGGCAATAATACTCGGTCATAATGAAATCAATAACCACCATCCTATAATTCCATGACGTCTGCTGGATGTCACTGCATCTCTCGCCTGAAAAGACTCTATTTTCCCTTCAAGGTTTGGATTCGAAACGTGGCCGTGCAAACAAAAGGATGATCATTCCAATTTGAGCTTCTTCTCGTCTGATCCAACAAGGCACGGGATGACACTGGCAGGGCAGTGAAGCGCCGGGTTGGTTAGAGGGTCATCGACCCCCAGAGAACCCATGTATCTCACACTGTTTGGTACCTTACATAGGTGCCTTTTCCTGTGTAAAGGCTCGCGCCGTAGCCTTCAGGCCAGCTTTATTATGGTTGAAGTCACATCATAAATTAAGCTGACATGACTGGGAGAGAGCTCTGACCCCTGAGTGATTATTTGGTACGGTGCACGGTACACCACAAGTACTACTGTCAATGTCATCCATCATCCGGGACGTCAATAACAATAACAATGCCAGATGAGGTGGACGTGCCATGCGTACATTTGATTGCCGAATCTTGGAGTATCGGTGCGAGGAATCCAGAATGCCACGAGATCATCACAACATGGTCGGTGCGTTCTCACCTTTGTTGGCACAAGCACCAGGATACGACTTACGATCATTTTCGCAGCGAGTGAGGAACGTGTAGACAGAATTCCAGCTAGATACAGCATCTCGGCCGCCCCCGGGTGTCAATGTTGAGATTTGTGCTTTTGCTTTACGGACATGTCTATGCTGTTTACACATATCAATGTACGAATACATAGGTCTTCAGTCTTACTAGATAATATATAGGTTAAGCCAAGGGGACATGTTTGGAAAGGCTACACGAGCATTATAGCCATAGGTGGCTAACGTCTATAAGTTGCGATAGTTGCTCAGATACCTAGGTAGGCATGAATGCAGCACTCAATACCTACGTGCCTACCTACCTACCTGACCTAACGAAAGAAATGATGACGACATAGCGAGAAAAAGGTAGGAGCACCACGTGTACGTCTAAGGACCTACCTACCTTGAGCAGCCGAGGGGCAGGCGCGAGGGGAAGCAGTTTCGCGTCCAACGATAACTTTGGCGATAACTTTGCAACCCGCCTTGAAAAACCCCTCCAGTCACCACCGTCGTTGGAATTAACATTCCTTTGCTGGACATCTTCACATGCTTGCAGAATATTTCTACAAAAGAACCTATCCTTCCTCATGATATTCGCACGCCCCATCACATTTCCGGACTGATTCGGGAAACAGTTCCACCGCCAATGTGTCGCGAGAAAGTCATGTTGTCATGGACTCGGCGACTTTGGGAAGGCGCGAACCAACTTTCTGAGAAGATATCCACGTGAATTTTTCCACCGATTGACATTCTCATTGCTGCTGTTACAGGCGCCGTGATTCATATAGCAGCTCACATCGCAGCAACAAATCATGAGTAAGCCAAAGAGCGTCGTCATTGTAGGTAAGTTTGTCGTGAAACTCTCTTACGCCTCGAAGCACGACTAAACCATCTGCGCAGGCGCCGGTACTGGTGGAATCGCAAGTGCTGCTCGACTTGCCAAGGCAGGCTTTCGAGTCACTGTTGTCGAGAAGAACGATCATACGGGTGGGCGGTGCAGTCTAATACGCGATGATGGCCATCGTTTCGATCAAGGTCCCTCCCTCCTTCTCCTTCCAGATCTCTTTCGAGAAGCTTTCATCGATCTCGATACCACTCTCGAGGCCGAAGGCGTTGAATTGGTCAAATGTGAGCCCAATTACAATGTATGGTTCGGAGATGGGGAATGCATCGAGCTTTCAACCGACGTTGCCAAAATGAAGACCACCATAGAACGATGGGAAGGAAAAGAAGGCTTCGAGAGATATCTGGCATGGATGCAAGAAGCCCACGTTCATTACGAAGCCAGTGTCGTTCACGTACTCCGTAAAAACTTCTCAACCATCTGGGCTATGGCCCGCCCCAGCTTTTTGCCGTACCTACCCGCACTTCATCCGTTCGAGAGTATCTGGAATCGGGCAGCCCGGTATTTCCGGACAGAACGGCTGCGACGGGCCTTCACCTTTGGTAGCATGTATATGGGCATGAGCCCATTCGATGCGCCTGGGACATACAGCCTTCTACAGTATACCGAGCTGGCAGAAGGTATTTGGTGAGTTACAACAAATGTCTGAGGATAAGAATATATGCTGAATATGCTTAGGTATCCCAAAGGTGGATTTCACGTTGTTTTGGACGCCTTGGTCCGAGTTGGTGAGCGATTCGGAGTGGAATACCGTCTCTCAACACCAGTTGCACATGTCAACGTTGACGGCTATTCTAAACGCGCCACCGGCGTAACTTTGGCTTCTGGCGAGGTTCTGAATGCCGATATCGTTCTCGTGAACGCCGATCTTGTCTACGCATACAATGAGCTTTTGCCGTCCTCGCCTCAAGCCTCCTCTCTGTCCCAAAAGCCAGCTTCATGCTCAAGCATCTCGTTCTACTGTAAGTCAACTGTACCATTAAGGGGCTTTCTCCACTGACAAGTTCCAGGGTCAATGGACAAGGTCATACCAGAACTGCATACGCACAATGTATTCCTTGCGGATGATTACAAAGACAGCTTCGATGACATCTTCAAGCGACAACTCATACCCAAAGAGCCTTCCTTTTATGTCAATGTGCCTTCAAGGGTTGACCCTACAGCGGCTCCAACCGGAAAAGACAGCGTTGTCGTACTGGTACCCTGTGGACATCTGCTGGAAGGTGGAGCCGACCGCGGATTGAACCCTCAGAATGCTCAAGACTGGCAAGCAATGGTTTCCAAGGCTCGCAATGCAGTGTTCGACACAGTACGAGTCAGGACTGGTGCTGACCTCCAGGCTCATATTACTAACGAGATTATCAATACTCCCGCCTCGTGGAAAGAAAGGTTCAACCTTGATAAGGGTGCTATCCTAGGACTGAGCCACTCATTCTTCAATGTCCTGAGTTTCAGACCTGGGACGAAGCATAGCGATATCAAGAGCCTTTATTTCGTTGGCGCTAGCACTCATCCTGGGACCGGTGTGCCAATCGTGCTTGCAGGCAGCAAGATTACTACCGGCCAAATTCTTGATGATCTCGGTATGGTCAAGCCATGGTCACCTGGCACACATACCCGAAAGATGGTCAGTTCGCTCGACAAGGAAGGCAAAGTGCCTCTGGACTTGACCCGCAGTATTGTTGTACTACTAGTGCTGTTCTTGTTGGCGCTAGTTCTCTACACCTCGAGGTGATTGGTTTCAGTGTTCATAGACGCATTGAGCCTGGAGTTATAGGTCTAGATTTTCGTATATACCCATACCCTTAATCACAAGATCAAACAACCTGGATATCATTGCAATGTGATTTACCGTTTCCACTCATGGCCTTCCTTCTTGCGGGTGCGACCTAAATGGTTCTGGTGAGCACAGGAGAAGCGCATCTCTCAACGAGGAATGGTGCACAGGATGGATTCTGAGATGGTCATGAGATCAGTAGGTTTGAACTGTCGTGAATTTGTTGACCTGACTTTTCTATCAATCTGCAATGTCGATCACTTACAGGTAGTCAGCTTTGAACTCACGGATGTTCTCGCTTGCCTCCATGATTTGAACGTTTTAGCGATAGGCTGTTCGCCTGGGTCGTTCCAATGACCGTAGTGGTGCATGCTTGTATCGACAGCTCTCGAGTGGGAAGATTTCTGCCATACTTTTAACCCACTTCCGGTGCATTCCGGCCTCCTCAATCCGTTGCTCCTTTTACCAAACTCCTTCATCCTCACGTCAAAGTTTTCCCAATTTATACTGCATCTACTGATAAACTATTAAAACACTCAGTGCTCTGAGCTCCAGGCGAGCTCGGCCCGACCATCTCCTCCGTGGAAATGACCTTGCCTTTTGCTGTTGCTGAAAGTCCCTGACCAGGGCTTGATCCACCATCAAGCCATTCTCGTTACGTACATTTGTGCGTCGGACGTTTGAGTCATCACGAGCATATGTTCATGGTTTGACAGCAAGCAGAAAATCCACAAGCTCCCCTGCATTCAAGTCATCCGTTCCGCTCTACCTTCACTAGATGCCCCATGCGCTCCCCCGTCTGTCAGAGCCTTGCGTTAGATGAGGTAAAGTTGCCATCCTTTTTAGGATGGCTTTCCAGTGCCGTACTATCTTTTTGCCAGAACGACGAATTTGTTTTGCCAGCCTAGGCATGGTATGCGTGTGCCAGTGGAGTGATGCTACTCATCCCATACGGGTGAATTGATGTTCAATGACGCTGACGATGAAGTTATATCCTCCTTGGTTTGCAGCTCCACTCTGTGCGTCTGAAGAAGTATTAAATGGGCTGCGAGCAGCCTTTGATGAACACTCTACAGGTCAACAATTTTGTCGAGCGGCAAGATCGGCAACAGAAACATAAAACAAAAGAATAATTCCTCTCAGTCACAAGAAGCAAGACTATCTTTCATCATGCCTAACCGCGCTCTCGACATCAATGGTTTCACCAACACGGTGACTACCGACAACCACATCACCACTCGTGGTAGCGATTGGTATTTCACAGTCACCTCTGTCTTTGGAGCAGCCACCATCGCCATTTGGGCCCTCTCATTCACCAAGCCACGTTCTCAACGACTCTTTCACTATCTGACCGCGGCTCTTACCCTCATCTCTGCCATCGCTTATTTCTCCGAAGGTTCCAACCTAGGATGGACTGCGATTGAAGTCGAGTTTCCCCGTGGCTCGCCCAAGGTTGCCGGTGATATGCGTCAAATTTTCTATGTTCGCTATATCGATTACTTCATCACCACTCCGCTCTTGTTGGCAGACCTCCTCTTGACTGCAGGCCTTCCCACGCCCACTATTTGGTACACCATCTTGATCAACCAGGTCTTTGTTGTCACCCGACTCGTTGGCGCTTTGGTCAAGTCCACATACAAGTGGGGTAAGTGTCCTTACCCATTCTTCCATGGTCCTTGGAACTGACAATTTCATCTCTAGGCTTCTTCACATTCGGTGTCGTCGCACTCTTCTTCGTAGTCTACACCATCATCTACGAAGGCCGTATCTACTCCCGTGGGCTCGGTGCCGACGTCTTTCGCCTGTACAACGTTCTCGCTGTCTGGACCGTGTCCATCGCACTTGTCTATCCCATTGTGTGGGCTGTCTCCGAGGGTGGTAACATCATTCCCCCAGATTCCGAGGCTGTTGCTTACGGCGTCCTCGATCTTGCTTCCAAGATCGTCTTCGCCGCAGCGCTCCTCTGGGGCCATCGCAACATTGACATCGAACGTCTTGGCATCCATATCCGCGATGCTCACCAGCTCCCTGCTACTCCCGTTGTCTCGGAGAAGACTATCGAAGCTGATGCCGCTGCCGGTGTCACTGCTCCTCCTGCTCCCACCGTTGAGCCTGAGACAGTGTAAATGGTCTCCGAAGCTGATTAGACGTATCTGAGACCCGCTGTATGGATCGCAAACTGCTCGGTCTAGCCAATAGGGCATCATCAGTGGACAGGAGCCATCCTCGACAAAGCCAGGCCTGAACAAAATCCGCATCTTTGGACTCTAACTCAACCACACCTTTCAAATTCTCCTTCATCATGACACGAAACAGGACACTCGTTTCAAGGCTAATGGCCGAAAGACAACGGACCCGGAAGATAATGCTTGATTTATCGTATCCCATTCATCAAAATCGACTCAAGATACCACTTGCCGCGAGCACTGGAAACTGTTGGTTTCCTTCCGTTTTCATTACCGAGCACTTCGACTGCTGGTAAGCTGGGGATGGCAGCAGACGAGATGGAAAATTGGCAGACTGGGAATCTCCATCTGATTATCCACGTAGAGATTTCTGCCACAGTAATAGTAATAATAACTCTCCCTCATATAGCAATCCCGCCTGATCACTTACCATCTTCTCTCTTCCCTTGTGAACCAACCCTCCAATTCGACATCTTGCCTTCGTTGTACATGCCTTGAATAACCGAGAGTTCCGCCGCTGAGCTGCCGTGCAGCCTTGGTGGGTCCGTCCTCGACCTCGAGCTCATTCACCACGACGTATCAGGAACTGGCCAGCCTCCGAGAACGGCATGCCGATTATTCATGTTGTCCTGTTGTAGAAGCATGTCAGGCCATATTGAAAACGCGACTCAGCTAATTGGGCGACATATTGTGCTCAACTGATTGCGGTGCATGTGCTTGTGGATCACTTTCCAAGGTCCTCAACGTCACCGCCCCACGTTGCCAGTTGGCAGCAACGCATGCAGAGTGCCCAACAGGTACCTACCCACATGAGTACTTACTTCGAGGGGCATGTATTACCCCTCCATGTCCGAAGGCTCATGTACTAGGTATTTAACTGTGCAACTTAAAACTTATCCGGTGTCGAAATCCTTGATCTCTTCTTTGAACTCGCTCTTCTAAACTCGTCCCAACAATCTTGCTCTCTAAAAAACCACCTTAACCTCCATACATCTTCCGTCGCCTTGACAGACCAGCCTATCCTCGGAACACCGCTGAATTCGAGTCTCTCGAGACATCAACCAACACGGTATGCACGACAAGATGAGAAAACTCCAAACGGAGCACCAATTAGAATTCATGGCCACTTTTGAGTTGGGATAGTTATCCACAGATCAAGGTAACGTTCTTCGGAGAAGAAAATGCATGGCGGGTGTTCACTTCGATGACTTTCTCTCTCTTGCATCCCTTCTTCATTGAAGCGAGAGATACCAGAGAGAGGAGATATCGTGTGATCTGAGAAATACCGCTG